CGAGTTGAGCGCCCGTCGCTGTATGAGCGGTTGGATGGAGCGCGTCATAACCAGTTAATACGTTGCCCGTTATATTGATTTGATGGTTCGGCTGTATGATTGGTAGGGGCATCGATTGCGGATCAATCCTTAAGCCATGTGCACCGTCCACGGTACCCCGCCAGTTTGGACTGGCAGGACAACGGTACTATGGCCAGTTGCCACCTGTGCGACTCGTCCACCAGGTAGCCAATTCACCTTGTAGCTGTGGAAATATTGAAAGTTTTGAATCACGCCTCCGACGTGGCCTTCACCGGTGGTGTAATCCATATCATTGACCGCCTGCTGGTCATCCCCGAGAGTGCCAGCAACACTCTATCTGCAGCCAACCTCACCTCCCTGCGCGGAGCCCTCAACGCAACTCAGCTCGTCGAGACTGTCGACACCACCCCCAACGTAACCATCTTTGCTCCTAGCAACGAGGCAATCCAGAACGTCTTCTCTGCCTTTGCCAACCTTACTACTGAGCAAATCACCGACGTCCTTACATACCATGTTGTCTCCGGTCTCGGCTATTCCTCTGGATTGGAGAACGGCACTGAGCTCACCACTCTCAACGGCGAGTCCCTGACCGTCACCATTGGCGAGGGCGGTGTCTTTGTGAACAACGCCCGCGTGATCGTCTCTGACGTTCTGATTGCCAATGGTGTCGTTCACGTCATTGACGAGGTCCTGAACCCCACCAACAAGACTCTTGCCGACACTGGTGCTGATGAAGGCGAGTCTGCCTTCGAGGGTGCCACACCTGCTTCCGACGTCCCCTTCACGTCTGGCCAGCCTACTCCCACCGCCACCATTGGCTCCGAGGCGACTGAGGCTGCCGACCCTACCGCGACCCCAGCCCCATCCGACAGCGCTGCTGGTGCTGCCCCCATGCAGACAGGCGCTATTGGTATGGGCGTCCTTTTCGGTGCTGCCGCCGTTTTCTTGATGTAGATGGATGATGGTTCAAAATCTTGATCATATGTAATTCAAATTGCATGCGACAATGGTATCAGGATATTGTGAATAATGGAGGATACGATGTTCAGACGATCGCTATGTTTTTAATGTAATATACCTCTACAGTGCGGACCACGTAATACCCCATATCTCCACATCATATTCTCCTTTTTCTAATTCCCGTGATGTTGTAGCTGTTTGGAACATAAACGCATCCATTCAATGTGCCCTCATAGGGCGTGTTTCATTCATACTTGACCCCACTCAGATGTGTCTGTCGTAGCCGTGTTGTTTCCGCCCAGGAATCTAGGCAGACACTATGATGTTATGCAAACGTCCGCGTCTTGCTATCTAATAAAGGCCGTTTCAGAATGTAGCGCCACATGTACTAGTAAGGAGCAGCTAAATCGCGGAAGCGAAGGCTGTGCCACCATGGTTTCTTGTACCATACCTGACAGTTCAAGTTCTCCCACCCATCAGACCACACGTATCTACAAAACATGCTCATTCGCCAAGGGAAGAAATATCAAGCTCATCATCGTTCTCACACCAGCTCTGGGCCAAGGGAGCCATACTATTGCGGTCAATTCCCTGAGGCAGTCGCGAGAGTAATAAAAAAATGTTTGGATTCTAACGTAGTCTATGGTTGACAGGATTCAAAGACAGGATTGCAGTATCCGGCGATGAGGAGGGCCCAAATGCAGTGTGTAATGTGATCATATTGTCCTAGTCTAGCAGGATGGGAGCTATCTATGGGCAAGCACCGCCAAGGGGCTAAGCCCATTCAAGAGTCACACGTGACCGAGATATCTATGACCACAACAAGGATTGCCGTAGTAGATATGGTGGAATTCGGTCAATTCTCAGCATACATACACCCCAGTCAGGCACAATGAAGAGTTCAGACTACCTGTATACCGTTCTGGACATTGTTCTGAGGTTTGTCAGCATTCCCCATATGATCGCCTCGAATCACATGAGCCTAGATACCGGTAAACTCTGGAACTTTGGAAGATGATCATGAAAGTTACAAGTGAGGTTTATCTTCCGGAAACAGGGTACAACAATCCGCAGTCACGCGCAAAATACTACCATGAATATCAAGGGTTCCTGGTCACTCATCAAGTTCGTTTCTCTGGTTTGTGCTCTGCCAGCAGATACCGGTACCATGCTATGGATAAAAGATGTACACATGCATTCGGCTTATCAGAGCAGCGGGTACTTGCTGTTTTTAGGGGTTTAGACTCTCGGGGCCTTTCTTGGTAAGATCGCGATTCGTAGGCAGGAATGCGGAGCGCCAGCTAGCCTGTGTGAGACGGCTCTTTCCGCACCTCTTGGTCAATCAATTGCTCATCATACCAGTAGCTTCCTCACGAGTATTTATACATCTTCCAGCGAATTTCTGAGCAACCTCTCTCATGCGATACATATGAAAAGTAGACTGGATGCAAAGCTATTGTCGCTCATAGCAGCACCAAGAGAAGACGTACTTCTCTTCATCGTGTGTTGCTTGTTGCACGAGCTGTCTGTATCCGCAAAGCACCCGTTGAGTCACCACAGAGATGCGTTCGGTGATATCGACCACTATTCTGTACGACGCTCCCTAACGAATCATGTATCAGAACAGCGTAGGAAAAATGATCTCTCGTTTGGTACAGCCGTCAGTCTCTCCGTGACTTGCGAACAAATTTTCATAAGAGCCAGAATCTGACTATGCACTACCTATGATCTTCGGCTTGTTGCTTACTTCGACAGGGTTCACCATGTTCGTCCATCACTAACACTAATGAGCAAAAGTTGCACCTCGGTCTGAAACGTTACTTCTCTGGCGCGGCTACATAAGCTTGTGGCAACTTTGGATTATTCTTGGTTCGCGTTTCTAACTTTGAAACACGCGAAACTGTTCTCTACACGATCGTTCGACGAGTAAGAGTTAGTAGCCGGAATCACGCAATCGATGCAAGGTAGTACCTCATCAACCAGAGCTGCATAGCCAGCTTAGGGATTGCAGCAATGTTTTTGCCTAAAAGATTGCGAAGCAATACATCCGGTGGTGCTGAAATGTGAGTTTGATGAAGTTCTTTCCCCTACGCGTTCTGCCGCTCCGGTAGTCATTTGCACCATAAAAAAACGCAGTAGAGGATGAACAATGTCTCTGATAGTCGTATAGGTGCACGCCTTCACGCTCGAATAATGCTAGCGAACTACAGAAACGCACACAATCCAGAGATAGATCGGAGTCACTACCACAAACGCTGGCGCGAACGAGGCTATCCGAAGGTTCTATTTACCACAATATCGACCCACCGCACCTGGTGCCGACACCATGGGAGTCTGACCGACGAAAGTGGCACCCCGCAATTATCCACAGGCGATCAATTCAACGTAAAAGAATCCCAGCGCGGCTTTTCCAGACTATGCCCAGAGAAATCTACGATTGTATCCTAGCGCATATACGAATACTCGATCTGAAAGGCGATCGTGCATGTTCTTCATGCTACCTGAGAGATATGGTGAGCCTCTCGCTCGTTAGTAAAGCTTGGAATCGAGCAGCAATAGCACAGTTGTAAGTTATTTACTAGGTACACCGAGCTCCACAACAGTTTGACACAGTCAGCATGTCTAGTCAATAGCGACATCTACGATTCCTTTGCAAAGCAAAAAGACTGTATCTTTGAGCAAGTAATTATAAATATTACTGCTAAACCTAATATCAATGTCTACGATGTCTAATGTTGGGGTAATATTGTTGTTCAACTTTCCTCAGCCGATATCGATCTGTCGTGGGGCTTTACGGCAACCCGGAATCCATGACGGTGATTGCTAACTTACGCACATAGATATCGATCAATCATATTACCGCCGTGCGATGTCCATGATACTTTGTCCGATCCTAGAAAGGCAGGGTTAAGTCGCCTCAAAATGCTCCACAGAACACTTCGTGAACAACCCACACTAGGACAATACGTTCTGGAATTAAACTTGGCAGAAATATATGCACTATACAACAAGGCTGGCTCAGGAAAAGAAGATATAGTTAACCAGGTTGCGTCGCTGGTCATGGCAGCTCCGAATCTAGAGCGTCTCCTTGGGTTTCAAATACCTTTTACACATTCCTTCGATCGGCTTTCTCACGCCCTATCAATAAGACGCAACCTAAAAGAGCAATTCTGGCTTCTAGGCAAATGGGATGTCGTTTCCAGTGAAGAAGAGGAAGAAGCAATAGGGCCATACTACCACGAAGCACGTGATCCGACCGAGCGGTTTCTGCTATTGAACTCTAGGCATGATATTCTATCTACACTCGTGTTGCATCAGGAAGAAGGCCAGACATTTCCTCACATCAACTTCCGCGCTATAATCGGTGCGCTCCGACACCTGCCCGCTTTGCGCCATCTTGCTCTATCAGGACTGGTAGCATCGTCATTTACCAATGTTACTCTGAACGCTTTGCCGGCTGGCTTGCGGTCCCTTCGGCTTGAGAATCTGGCTGGTGTGAATGATAGTGGCTTACAACGATTCTTCAAGTCTCCCCAAGCCAGTTCTGTTGCGAGGCTCACACTTGTTAATCTCGCCTTGAAGAGCCTCCTCACACTTTCAGACATCTTCTCCGCCAGCTTGTCAACATTAAGCTCTTTTACCATCGCCCAAGACCAAGCGCCCATGTTTACCGCACATACCACAGTACCGAATTTCCGCTCGCCTAACCTCAGATATATTCACTGGGAATTTCGGTCAGAAGCAGGCCCGCCTCCAACTCTCCCTACATCATTATCCTCAAGTACCGCAGAACAGCTGTGCTTCCCTTTCAAAACCTCGGAGCCAATAAGCTGTCTCGCAACATCCCTCCTCGCAACCAGCATTCAGGAAGGCGGATTCCCTGCCCTCCACCACATACGCATCCCACACGATCCCCAAGGCCTCATACAGAATCTCTGCAAACCCCTTTTCGCAGCCTTGACGCCTTACGAGGTGGCATCACTAATGACCACATCGTCACGGAGAGTGGGGTCAAATGGATTTTCGATTGACATTCAGAATTTGCCGGATACACAGAAAGTTGAGAGATTCCTTGTCACTGACTACCGACCGTCTAGTGTCCGGGCGGATTCAGGGTTGGGTTCATCATCGATGTCTAGTGCGGCGGATCAGTGTGCGCTTTCACCATTGCGATCGCGTATTGCAGCGCATTGTCGTATTCTAGCTGCGCGGAAAGAGGCGGCGATGAAAATCCAGGTCGTTGACCCTAATGGGGCCGTTTGTGTTAACGATGTTATAGGAGGCTATGTAGGAGATGTTGCAAGTCAGATCAGCTATGAGCTAGAGCCTGATAGGATTCAGACTTCTAATACCAGTGTGTGTGGGAGTTCAAATCGAAGCGAGTGGTTGATAGGAGTGCAGGATCTGATAGACGATACGTCAAGGCACAAGCAACGAAGGGGCAGCTGTGGCCATGCCATCGGTAGTATTGTAGGGCGGGACGCGGTGAGAGCAGAAAACTTGTTCTAAGCTCAGATAGGCTGAATGTCATGTATCTATCCACGCAGTGACAACAGGCACCATATGTGTTGCTGAAAACAGCGTGGGATAAACACTGGAGAGGACCGAAGAGCTGCCGTGCACCGCGGGTGGGGCCATGCTGCGGGTACAAGGTACCAATGGCTAGTACTTTTCAGAGCAAAGCAATGATACTATTCCTCGGATCGGTGACTATGTTCGCTCCACCTTACCTTGGGAGATCTGGCCCACTTTTGCCCGAGACCATCTGCTTCGACAGGGTGAAACGAGTAGTCTGCGAAGCGTTTTCGAGTGTCGTTGTCAAACCATATCCACCAAGTGGCACCAAGTGGACTGAATGACGACCATCTAAGAAGTACTCCAGGCGCTGTCCTCTTGGGAGAGTAATTGCATGCTATAGCCCGGAGGCCAGATCTGTGTGCAGTCGCAAAGAAGTCGAAACCCTCGGGAGTGAACGTCCGGAATGTTGGGAGATCCCTGTCCACCATTTTCTAGGTCCCGCGGCAGCCGTCGAGGGGAATGTGGCCCACTCCTGAATAGCTTATTTCTGCAGTTTAGTTGCGCAGCACACACAATATTAGACTTGTACTAGGTAAGAACTTTACCTTGTGGATAGTTAATTGTCATGCCTTATAGCGCCCTACGCATATTATGTGGATGCTGGCTTCTTCTTACATGGATGAGATGCATATTATGTTGTATATTTTCCTTCTTCGAGGCTGAATCTACCATGGTACCTCAGTATAATTTCGCAAACCCTCCCATGATACATGAACGTATTCTAGATAAATTTTGAACCAAGCTGAATCTTTTTCATCCTTCAATCTTGTTTTAATCAGTGCAGTTTGAATTGAACAACCACTTCTCAAGGCTGCTGCATTTCCGACTTGTAATTTTACGATCGAGGGAGAAGCTTCAGCAAGTGTGGTGATTGAAACATGAACGTCCATCGCGGCTTTGACAATGGACATGTTCAATAAGGCATGTGTTGCAACACATGGTCTAGATGTGCGGCGCATGACGACATACGAAATACTTCCGTCCGGCCAAATTTCTGCGTCACCGTAGTAGGCACGCAAGCACGCCACGAGCCTGCTTCGCGGAAAGGGGGTGGGGGAGACAGGGAAGGCGTGGGGTTTTACATCCAGCATTGACCTATACTGGACTAAACCACGCAATAGAGCATCCCTATCTGAGGTTATGCGGCAGTGTGAATGTTCCGACATTTTGGGCGGATCCTTGCATGGGCCATGATTTACCTGCATGTCATTCTTTCGCACGGCTTACCAACGTTACTCTGTTGCAACACCAACCTGCATATGGTGTTGCCCTCGTATCGAGAATTGATGAGGCGTCGCAGAAGGAAAAGTCATGGGTAATGGAATGACTGCTTCGGCTAGTGCGCAAGAGTAAGATTGTGGATAAACAGTTTTCCGCTTCCTGGACGTTAATGATGCTTTCTCCACTCTGATAGGCCCGGAAGCCTGTACCGCGTCAGGGTTCTAAGCTTCATGGGGAGATTCTATGACCCACCTGTGTTGGGTCAGGATTCAATCCTTAAAGGAACAATGGTACATAGAGTACCGACCGGACAGAAAACGAGTCATGATTGAAGATGGGCAGGCTTTGAAAACCGATCTTCGCGTCTGTGGCCGCCCAGACATGTATATATGCGTGTGTCGGTGGGCTGTCGCGAGCAATGAGAAACAACTTGCCGCCTACAGCCTTCTCACAGGAGACGGCATTGGCTACGTTCAAAGTCTTCCTGAGAGTTTTATTCGGTCGGCATCATATTGCATGGCATCGCTTGTACACGGAAGGACGAAGGAATGAGAGTTACACCGTGCACGGTGACAACTTGTGTACATTTGCAGGTGTGCTGCTTCCTGACCAGACACTGACCTGTCTTCATCTTGGTCCGCGGAGCTGGCATCGTTCTTTAAAAGGAGTCCCCCGGAGGAATTTTAGGGTGACACGCTGTCGTTAAGTCGCTTTGATCAAGGTTACACAACTCTGAATGCTCGCCCCGCAAAGCTGGGTTTTCTTCATGGGGAAGGTTATCGATCAGCTTATTGAGGAAGCAGTGCAACTTATTCGAGATAAGAGACTTGGGACAACAAAACTTTGATCAACGTTCGAGTCAGTGTATGGAATTACACGCAGGATGGGTTGGTACTCCCCCTATAATGCTGCAACCATTTCCCCCGGTTCGCAGAATCCAGTCCTGTGACATACTTACTAATGAGATGATGAAAGTGACACATCGCGCGGCAGCGGCACCTCAATCGAACCTACTAAGCGCGACAACGTCTGCTTCGCTGTTCACGCACAAAGAGAGAGTTTTCCTGGAAAGCCTTGATTTGCAGCGTTCCTGATAGAAGAGTCAGGAAGGGACTCGTCGATCCCTACAGCGATGCAGTTTACCTGATCGAGTCTTGGCATCACAATGGGGACCCAGGTTTCGCGCACATGGATGGCTGCATGAGCCACGAAGGCAGCGAGTTTATTCGAATTTCCCGGAAACTTTGTTTCTATATTGTTGGACTGTGCAGACATGCAAGTCGCCGGCTGCTCCCTCAGTATATGTGAGCACATTCGGACCATTTATCTCATTGAAGCGTAAGCATCATAAACATCTCGTACCCTGCTGCTGATGCCACAGCTAACTTGAAGCCTACATCAACTTCTTTGGCCAGAAAACTTGTTACCACAAGCTTCTGATGTAACCCATCAGCCTTGGACGACGATTTTTCCTGATATTACCATACTGATTTATGCAATGGCTGGACGCTCCCAGAAGGACTATGAAGATATTACGACTGACACCACACCATCTTTACCAGAACTCCGAGAGTATACAACATACCGAAAAGAGAATCCTATTCATTCACGCTACCGGCTTGACTGGAATGTGGCCCTCTAATTGAGGTATTGTCTCAAGAATTTTCGGGTCGATCGTCCAATTGTTCAGGTCGGCGATAGTACTTTCAAACAACGGTGTCATGCGAGATTGACCCGATTCGATATCCCAGTAGTGGCATGCATCATCGGCATACGGCCACGTGACCCCGACAAGTCCGATCATACTTTCAATTGGATATTCATGGGGATGCGCGTATAGTAGTTGGCGTACCTGAGGCCTGCTGGGTGTTAATATCAAATTCACTTACGATAAAAGATTGACATACCACGGGATGAGATCGATGAGCAGATCGTATGGAGACGTTTGCTGCTCGCCCAATGGTGGCATCAGCCAATCTGGGCTCGCCCTCATATTCTCTACCGTCGGCCATATAAGATACTAACCGATAGTTAGTCTTTATTATTAATGCATGCTTCGTTGCAGCACCTACCCGCATCAATTTCGTCAGAGCCCAGGTAGAAGCCAATCTCACTGGAAGAGGCGACGTTGGAAGGAGTTTGTTCACTGTTCGCGAACACCATGTTGACACTGGCTGATCATCCTGGGGGTCCAGAAAGCACAAGAGCAACGTGTCGACATCAATCTCAGTTCTACCAAAGATTTGAACTTCACTGAAGCCATTTTGCAGGAGTTCCCTTTTGATTCTCCGATAATACGCACAGTCGTATCCGAACTTTTGCAACGTACTGGACGCACTAGACGCAGCTTCGATGCTCATGGTTGGGGGAACCATGGGCCCAACTCCGTCAGCTGTAGGCTCAGGGCAGTAATTTATAGCAGCCTGACTCTGTTCCCGACTTCGAAGATTGTTAGCAGACTGTCCAGTACTCCGACTGGGTTGGGCTTGCCTGTCTTCCCGGGAAGATCCTTCGTATGACGAGGCGGCGATGTTCTGTGTGGGCCCATTGAAATGTTCGCTGGTCGGAGTGCCAAAAGAGTCGCCATCTGGAAGTCCTGGTGTGGGACCCGCTGGATCCTGGTGTAGGTATGAGTAAGCGCCTTGAGAAGGAGCTGATTGGGAGCTTACTGCAAGTGCCTTTCGCACCTCATCCGCCGAATGATTGATGAACCCGTTTTTCTCCAACTCTGACGCCCAAAGCGCAGCCGAAGCACGATTGGGGGCCATGGCAAGAGACAGCAAAACAGACTTCAGATCATCCGCCTCCTTGACCAGGCGTCGAACATGGGCACGTAACTGCGTCGTTGTCTTACCGTCCTCGGCGACATCGTACACGCACACGAGGTTTTTGGACTGGCATGTATTGCATTTCGGCCTTACACCATCGCACTGAGGGCCAAGTCAGCCCAATTCCTCGACCTCAAAAATCATCGAACATGGCGAACCTTGGACTTGCGTTTTCGACAGCTCTCACAAGCAATCGATGTTATCTTGCCACGAGGCGTACGAAGGGCATAGGTGCCAGCAATGGGAGACTGATGCTGTCCCCGCGCGTTTACAAGGGCGCCCCCCAGACCCTGCTTAGGAGCCAGCGGGGCCTTGTGATTTCCGGCTGCAGAGGGTGCCTGCGGACGAATCACAAGATTCCCCTGGGCGGTGTCGAGATGAAGAGGCCCTGGGCCGCCGTCCCATTCGGAAGAATCGTGGCTGGGGAGATGGTCAGCACGTTTCGAGTTAGTCTAAAAGAGGTTCACAATCGCGGATTCCAGTGGCAGCAGGACTTGTCGTGGCACCATCAGCCGGTAGTCGTTGTTGTGGTTGTGGTGATGTTTTGTTGATCGGCGACACTGGACCGATATGTGGGTGCGACGTGGGTGGTGGTGGTGGAGGTGATGGTGATGTTAACCCCGCTTCGCGCACGGCACAACAGTAAAGGAAGGGAAGGCGTGCTCTAGGCCGCTCAACTGCAGATTGCACGTCCAAAGAGAGAGAGAGAAGAGCCAGAGGATCGAGCAAGCCAAACATGGTCCTGAACGGCGTGCTCGCCCCTGAGTACCTAGAGGCTGCCTCGTCGACGCAATCAGAGAGTAGTACCTAGCGGAGTAGTAATTCCTCCCAAGGAGTCTGACGTCCAGGACTGCGCTCAGTGGGCATCGATCGCTGTGTGCAGATCGTTTCCCCAAGAGTGACATATCTCTCTCACTCTCTCAAGGCCTTCGAGTCATTACTTGGCGGGTTTGGATCGGATCAAGGTTCGAGTGGCTCACAAAGGTCTGCGCTGGCGACGGTGCAATGGAAAACGGCGGGTTGGCGGCGGTTTGACGGCGGTATAATTGTCCAACAAGTGCTCAAAGGGATGCAGGTGGTCGCCATGATCGGATGCCAGTTGTCGGTATGCCTGGCACTCCCTCGTCGATGTCATCGGTACAGTTGGTTGCAGTACCAACGGCAGTGCAGCCAACGCAAGGCCGGCAGAAGGGAGGGGCGCCTAGGCGACGCACGATTGCTAACAAGGCCTATTAGAGGAAATACAACGTACCTCTGGGTCCCGGTCGCTTGTACGACAGTTTCTGAGGCACGACGCATCAGACGAGTCTCTGGGACTTCCTGTGGTGCACCGTCCAACGCATCCGGTAGGCTGTTGCTGCCATACCAGTAGTTCAGCCCTGCGAGAGATCAGCTCAAGGAATACGTTGGAATCGCCTTGACAGGCAGCGTACCCGTTGATGAATTCGAAGGTTGTGGAGGCATGTGTGCAAGCATGTCTCTCCACAGGACATTGGACGAAAGAAGCTATCTCGGAATGGGGTCGAGTGCGAGAGGATGTCCTTCCGCCAGATACATATGGACGATCGGTCATGCAGGTCGGGAAATTCCTGACTATATTGTCACCCAGAAGACGCCTTAGTGCTTGGGCAGCTCTGTTGCTATTGCTGACAAGCACTTGGAATTGGAACCAAGCTTCAAACGCGTCGCCCATCGACACACCAGAAAGCTGGCGGATGCATGTTGACCTAGTGATTAGCGCACCACAGCAACGACCGCGGGGAAACGGGCTTAGCACTCTAGACGGCATTGACAGACTAGGCCAGAATCGTGCTTCGACGAGTATCGAAAGATATATCAGTTCGCAAGCAAGACCGGCCAACAAAGTCTGAATTCCCAATTGTCCCTCGTCCCAGTTCTCCCAACTACGTCTTCCTTACGAAGGACCACCAGTTACGGCGCTACCAAATACGAATGTCTTGCCATGTAACCTCTGTTCATAATTTTCACCCAATGTACAAGGGTACCTACAAGCCACCCAAACAACCAAAGATCGACACTTTGCGTCTAACACGCTATACAGCCGCCGTGACGTACGATAGATCATCTCGAAACAAGATACAGCGATGTTCGAGGCTCCACAGATTCGCATACCGTATGTCTTCATTGATAGTGGGCACTAGGCTGCTTGTCACTTAGGAATGTAGGCAGCCTCTCTCTGTCCGAAGCTGGCAGGACGACAATATCGATTCGGTCCGATCATCGACGGCTCGAGGTCCGGTCGCACTGCCGCACAGAAGCGAAAGCTCGCCAGTAAGGTTGCTGGACATGTGACGTATTTTGAGTTTGCCAATGCTACTCTCATACGAGCCTTAGAGGGAGTTCAGTTAACCAAGACTACTATTCTATAGATACCGGGAGCACTGCATTGGCAGCGCGCAGGAACATGCCTTCAGAGCTCCCGCATATGCACTAGGGCGAGAGATGCCTCTTCGGTCTCTGTCATTATGGGCATGAAATTAATGGCCGCTCACCGACAAGTCGTCGGGACAGGTTGTCGGTAAGTCCCTTGATGTTCGGTATTTCAATCACATACAAGGATTCAATGGCAACGGAGATCGTGTCCTCCATACTAACAGCCATGTTTCAAATATGTTACACGAAAAGAAACGAGTAGGAGTACGAAATCCTTCGTCGCCAGCCTCGATGAATTTTTGCGTCCAACACCCACACGTCAAGTCGTTGGACACAGAGACGGTCTGGCTCTACGATCTCCCGTTGCCTCGGCTTCTCGAATCGCAAATCCACGCTACTCTGCCGCTCTTACACAGCTCGTCCCAGATCGCTTTGATCTTACCTCAACGAATGCGTTCGAATGCATGCCAATGAACGACGACTTGACCACTTTTGCCCTTTACAGCCCCGAGAGCTTAGCCACTGCTGATGTGATTGGACAATGGAGAGATTACAAACTCTGCTAACCACTAAGATAGATTTTCTCAGTGACAATCTTCACGAGAGTTTGCCAATATCTGAACAGCTTCTGCTCTAGAAACCAGAGCTGGCTACGCCGAACATTATTCTACTGCGGCCCCAATGTTTAGCGTATTGTAAAAGCAAAAACGCGTCCGCAGTTAGAGCTCTTCTTTGCCACTCAATATCTCAACATCCCCGGGTTTCGACAGGCCGCGTGCCGGCACGAAACGCGCGAAACCTGGCCACTTTCGTTTAGCAAGATTCTCGCGTGGATGCCGTCAATTTCACAGCTCGCGTTATGTACGATGCGGACATCTACAAACAACACAAGGGCTCTACCAAGGAGCCAAGGCTCCGTCTCCCAACGTGGCCACATCACTTTCGCGTAAAGGATAAGATCAGGCCATCTGTGCCACAACCGCACACACCGCAACACGCCTAGTCGCCTAGTACTTAGTTCCCGGTCCGCATACGCTGCATCAAGTGTCTGATTTGCCCCCTACCAATGTGACCTTACGAGGTGGTTGGAAACTGGGTTACACGATGGACGACAGGCGCATTGCCAGCGGTCATTGAGACTGTCCAATCCACATGCCTCTGGAAGCATAAAGTTCTTCCCAAAATGACTCTGATGCATTGAGCTACTCAGTGAGGATGAGGAGTAGTATGTAATCTGATTAGTCTCGTCATTGCCCGCTGATCACCATACCAAATGTCGCTTGTTGAGATCTTAGCTTACAAGAAACTCTCGTCTCTCGTATGGCTGTACATAGATAGAAACGACGGCCCTCGATGCAAGAGCCTAGGCCCTGCTTCGGCGAGTAGCATCAATCTGTTCCTTGGGCCGCTTTTGACCGATACCTGACGTAGTGACTAAGATATTTGGGCTTTCGACAAAGAGCCACATTTTCATGGGTAGCTAGCCAGCAAGAACCAAGCTCTGCACTACACATTGCAACTCGCGGAATCTAGAGCGGGCCATCTTGGTGAATCTTCATCACCCCTGGCAGTAGCCGTTCTCCCTCGTGACCCAGCGATCTGGTGCAATGGCTGATGAGGGCCTTCACAAGCCTTCTGCCGCATGTCACCGCAACGAACCTGAGATCTCGGACAGAAAGCCGAGCTACACCATTGAAATGAGCGGCGACAACCCATCCCACAGCCCCACATTCTCTATTTCCCACCTCCACACTTCTCTTCCAAAAACTGGATGAACGCTTGGAAATTGCGGGAGCTAAACTTGCGGGTTGCAATACGTAACCCTTCAGTTGGGCCACAACGCCGCAAAGTGCCAGTGAACTACTCATCTGGTGGAGATCGCCGCGAGGGGCAATCGGCCATTTGAGCGGACTCGATTTATGAGGGGTGGCAACGGACACCAGTGGGTTGTGAGTTCGCTCGTGGTTTCTCTCATTCCACAAAGCGCGTTAGGCGTTCGCTTCGCAGTTTAGCCTTGCATTCCCCGTTGCGCCCATGTGCGCGGGAGCAAAGCACGCAATACACAGCGTATGTACCTACATGCAGTATAGACCGGACTGCGGAGATGGACGACATTGTCGGAAGTCTCCGCATATGAGAAGTGTCCAGGGCAGGGTGTCTATCAATGTAACAAAGACTGTGTACTACTCTTTTGCCACGTTGATCGCACTTTGGTGATGGAGATTCTATGAAGGCCGGCAAGACGATCTTCGAAAGTAGTGAGGTACGTACAGCAGAGTGCTAAACTCGTCATTGTTCGTTATAGAAAGAATGTCATGTATCCTCCACCAGCTCGGACGCCGGTATGCGGCGACACGTTCTATGGAATGGGGCTCAGTGGAAAGTTCGATGCGACTTCGACTGAACCTTTCTCATCGCTCACTAACAAAACAATCCAACGGTCCTATAGCGATTCCAAGCATACTTCTACCTCGTCTCGAATACCCTCGGATTACCAGTTGGCTTGGAACTTAGCGAAGATCGGCATCCGTGAGCCAGACTCCCGTGGATGGCCGTGAAAGGATGGGATGTGGATACCATCGAATCGCCTCCAACTTGTCGATGTGCAGAGTCCAGATATATGATCGCCTGCTAGGATAAACGTAGCCCGACGATCACAGGCTCTGAAGTCGACCTGCCCTCTAACGTAGACTGGTCAGTGGTGATGTATTTTCCTCATGCTGTGTGACATCGGCCCACGGGGATGTGGAAGCGCAAAGTGGTGAATCGTATGACACAACACCATGATGCTGCAGCGTTACTCATTATCTCGCCTAGTTTGTGAGTCATGTGATTGGACCCACTGTGGCGAAACGAAGCATCCTTAACCACACAATCTATTAATTTTAGCCGCGGTATTTAAGCTTAAGATACCTTATAGTATTAAGTATTCACGTAAGATATGCTCTACTATTATTACCCTTTATTATTAAGGTATTAGGTAGACTATAATATTAAAATAGCTACCTATCTTACTTATAAGGGCGTATATATTTATAAAGAGACTCCTTAATTAAGCTAGTATAGCCTATATAGTAGCTCTATATTCTTTACCTCTAGCCTAACTACTTTAACTCCTACTAAAGGAGACTTACTATAGTTATTATAAACAGTTCCCTAAGGGCTCTAATATTACTAACACCTTAGTAGAGATAGTAGTAAGTAATAATAACTAGGAGACCCCTTATTAGTATATTATTAATAAAGTAAGTAATAAGCTTAAGGTATATATACTATATACTATAGGTTATAAGGTATTAAAGTAGAAGAAGGTTACCTAAACTATACTACCTTAAAAGCCTTAACTTAATACCTAATACTAACTTAATTAATTAATATTTATAGAGTAGGCACTTAGGGAGTCCCTAATAAATATAATATTTATATTTACTAATAAAACCTCTATTAACTATAATTACTACTATTAGTAGTAAAAGGTAAGCTAGCTTAAAGGTTCTAATCTATTTAATTTAAGCTACCTACTACCTAAAAACTTTAGTAGTATAATATTTTAGGGCGTAGTTTATAAGGGCTTCTAACTAGGACTATTTTATATATAAGAAAAAGAGACTCTAGAGAAAGTATAGGTAAATAATAAGGCTATAAGGTATAATAATTAGGTATAAAATAGTATTAATATTAGTAGGTAGGTAGTAAGGTAGGTAGTAAGGTAGGTAGTAATTATTATTAATCTACTAACCTACCTACTAAACTATCTATAGAATATTCTATTACTTTCTATTAATAAGAATAATACTAACCTTTACCTTTATTAGGAAAACCTTAACCTTATAGCTTATAATTAGGTAGCTATAATAATACCTAGTATATAATAATACTATACTCTATAAGAGCTTAATACTAATATACGCCTTTAAGATTATATAAATCCTTTACCTAGTAGCTGCCTATATAGACTACGTTGCCTAGAATAGTATTTCTAGCGTAAGCTAGAGACTAGAAATAATAGTAGAGCTAGAGGTATTAATTAGTACTAGTATTATAAGTAGGTTTTAAAGCTATTACTATACCTATATACCTACTAAATTTTATAATAGACTAGCCGCGTTATATATATTATTAAAGATAACGCCTTACCTTATACTAAAGTAAAGAGGCTATTAAAGGCTAAAATTACTTAGTATAGTAGCTAGATTAAAACTATAGTATAGCTATCTATATTACTAGATCTTAACTATATTAAATAAATTTAGGATTACTTAAAGGATCTATTTAAGAAGCTTATAACTTAATACTATAGTATATTATTATAATAGTATATTAAGGATTAGATTATAGAGGTATAATAATAGCTACTATAGTTAGTAATTAATATAGAGACTTATAGCTTTTAGGTAAAACTTTATAAAGTAATAGATAATTAAGGTAATAATAACTTCTATAGTTAGTAGAGTAGAATCTATTAAATCTACCACAAAATTTAGCTATCTACGCTCCTTACTGCATGGTGTTGGTTTATCGCCACGCTTAATACCACCTGGCACGCAGTGGTAAAACACGTGACTCACAAACTACCCGAGCGCATGAGTACTGTATGCATTACAAACAGTTTACCCTGGCCTGGGCTCTACAGGGCTCACATATGATGTGAGTACCGGGGTGTCACAGCCGACGTTTCTTCTGCGCAACCACGTATCCAGACTTATGTCGCATTCAGACGGTGTACAGTGACAAAAGCCAGACATATATGAACTGAACTTCGGCTTCCTCGTATCTCTTCGATTCAGTCCACAACCTCAGTCCCAAGCATTCAATTCGCTTTCATTCTCATGCGATAGCCAGAAACGACACATCCTTTTCCGGGTAAGTTTTGGTTGCTGTTTCCTGGCTGGAACACCAGCCTGACATGAACTGCAACCAGCCGAGCTATGGCTTGCCGCTTCGAGAATGCGATCAGCCCACCAGATGATGAAGCAAGCAGCTGTTGGTGAGGTCACGCATCAGCATGACTTGTTCATGGTGGAAAATGTTAGCGATGATCCTTGTGCGGACGGGTAGAGGTGACGGTTGTTGCTACAAAGTGACCTGTCAGTCTGCTATTGATGTGCTTTTGGATTGATAAACCAGAGAGGCATGGGTGGAGAGACATTGGAAACCCCCTTGTATGCGTGTGATGAATGTGGTTCTAGACCCTTGGGTGTTCCAGATGGTGACTTTCATTATGTGGGTGATGGTACATTGTAGAGCCGAGGTAGAGTCAAGAGGACATTATGCTGATGTTGAAAAGAAATCTGCAAGTCCAAGCGAGTGTTCAATTCAGGCCTTACACAAGTGACAGGTATGGGAGATGTGAGACTGGCGGATTCGGGGGACTGCCCCAGGCGTCAAAGGCCAGAAATCACGTGGTGTGGAAATTGATCACGTGAGATGACCAAAGCACACTTGGCCCAAGCACCAAAAGCTCTGACTTCATTGTCGAACCGCAGTTTCCCCGCAGGTAACTCGAAAGCTCCATCGCGACACAATCGTGTCTTGCGCCTCTCCCAATCGCGCATGCTGAAGACAATTTCAGTGCAATCGTGCCTGTATCTCTTTCCCTGCGTGCTCCCTAGTCTATACAGACCCTCCTTTTGCCGGGCAAGTTGTCGAGCGCTCTGCTCTGGGCACAGTCAGTGATAGAGATCTTCAACCGCACCACAACAAGAAGCACGCTGACAGCCAGAACTGACTTCGTCTCTGAAGAAGCCGCACGCAACGTCATAGAGCCTATCGAGGCCAACATGTCTCGCGCCAGCTCTTCCTCAGAAGGCGAGCTCACCGGAGTTCAACGCAAGGCAAACACAGTCAATCAATCCAGCGAACCTGCGATTAACGGCTCAAACAGGGTCTTCGGACTAAATGGCGCCTCAGATAGTCATGGTACTTGTACTCGCTCCCTAGAGACGCTAAGATCACGTGAACTGACTTGTTAGGACATAATCACCGCGCGCTGAGTCGCTCTCCTTCACCATATCGCCGCAGGCGCACACGTTCACCGTCCCCGTATCGAAGGAGCCGCAACATCGACCGCTCGCCTTCGCCATATCGCCGAAATCGTCTTGATGGTCCTGATCGCAGCTATGCTGGCAATGATGCACAGCCACGTAACAAGCGCAAGACTTCGCCTCCTCGTGGCCCTCGACCCGACAAGCGACCCCACACTGATCATAGCAAACGTAATGACCATAAGCAATACAGGCCTGATCAATATAGGTCTGAACAGTACAGGTCTGGCGTAGACGGCAGACGAGGAGGTGCACCTCCTGCAGGCTTCGTGAGGGGACGAGACGAGATTATGAATCGGTCTTACGCAAAGCCGATCTCATACGCTGAGGTGGAGAACCCTAACCCTGTCCCCAACTTCCAAGATGGACTCACACTCGATCGTGTGCGTAAAGAGCGAGGTCCTAGTGACCACCAGCAGGCGGAAGGTCGTCAGACTCGCCCACAAGAGCATGACTCTTCTCACAAGGGCTCAAATATACCTGAGCCACAGGCCAGTTTGAGCCAAGATGTTGATATGCAAGTCACTTGCGACTCCTTGTTTCATACATCACTGACAGTACAAAGGAAAACTTCTGGCGATGTCGAAATCGAGATAGCCCCTGCTGAAGAGAAGGTTCCAACTGAAGAGGTGCGAGAAGAAAAGCGTCGCCGTTGGGCAGCTATTCGAGCTGCAGCCGAGCAGCAAAAGCAGAAAGGAGATCTTTTACACCAAGCTATACTCACTCACGCATCAGAGACTACAACACCCAACGCTGCCTCTCCCGGTGCATATGCAGAAAGCCCCAAATCGCCGTTTGCATCTCCTCGCAATGGCGACACTGAGTCTGTCCCTGCGTCGCCTGACGTGATGGTTGTTGACAAGCAGGGAGGATTCGATCAAGGCAGCAGCCCCGCCGCGGATAGTCCTACCGCGGCAGACTATGACCCTGTTCAAGACATGCTGGATGACCGTGAGCGCGCGGCTAAGAAGAACCAAAACTCCGAGGTGCCCTCTGATGCATATCACGAAACAGACCCAAAAGTTCTCTCTACATTGCCCGCAGAGATATCTGCCCCATTGAAGAAGCAGAAGGAGTTTGACATGTTCGCTTCTGACGATGAAGATGAGGACGCTGAAGTAGCAACAGAGGTCAACGTACCTGCTAAAGGCACTGTTCTCGACGAGAAACTGCTCGATAACTGGGACGATCCTGACGGCTACTACAAGCTAATTAGCAATGAGCTGGTGAATGGCGGACGATACAGACTCATCAAAGCCCTCGGACGTGGTGTCTTCGCTAATGTCGCTCAGGCTGAAGAGGTGAACACGGACGGTGGTGAGCAGAGGCTGGTGGCTGTCAAGATGATTCGCAGGAACGAATTGATGAGGAAGGCAAGTCAGAAGGAGATGGACTTCTTGCGCAAAGTCAATGAAGCGGATCCTGCGGACAAGCGGCACATCATCCGACTGCTAGGCTCCTTCGACCACAAAGGGCATTTGTGCATCGTCTTTGAACACATGTCTAAGAACTTGCGAGACCTCTTGAAAGAGGAGACGAATGGTCACGGTCTCACTCTTCCGGCTGTTCGAATTTATGCCAAACAGATGTTCCTAGGTCTACAGCATCTGCAGAATTGCCAGGTTATCCATCTTGATCTCAAGCCCGATAATGTCCTGGTCTCTGCTGACAAGAAGACGATCAAGCTTGCGGATTTCGGTACCGCCGTTGACAAGCGAGATATTATTGAGCGCACCGAGTATCTGGTTAGTCGCTTCTACCGCGCACCAGAGATTATATTGGGCATGGAAATTGGCTACCCGGTCGATATGTGGGCTGTTGGCTGTACGGTGTATGAGCTATGGACGGGTAAGATCCTCTTTACGGGAAGGTCAAACAACCAGATGATCAAGTCATTCATGGATTGCCTGGGATGGCCAAGCGAGAAATTGCTACGCAAAGGTCTTGCGAACAATATCCTTGCAAACTTCGAGCTGGGGCCGCCATTGAAATTCATCAGCCGTGAGGTTGACCAGTATAATAAGGTGCGTGTTGAAGCCTTTATGCAAATTCCGCTAACAATGATTAGCTCTCCATACGCAAGATCGAGCAACAAAAGAAGACCAATCGCGACATGAAGACACGAGTCCATGACGCGGCAAGGAATATTAAGACGGGAGGCCCAACGACAGCTGAATTGAATGATCTAGCAGACTTACTTAGCGCAAGTCTGCATATGAATGTTGAGAAGCGTCTCACTCCCAAGGAAGCACTCGCCCACAAGTTCTTCGGATCCAAGCCCATGGCGCCAAAAACTGTCGGCTCAGCTGTTGTCAAACCGCCGATTGTCAAGCGTGGTGGAGGTTCTGTTCGTCGGTAAGTACTGAGTGGTTGGTTGCATTCTCTAGACTTGGGCGGTTATTTCTTGTCTTTTTTTGTGGGGTCATAAAGGGGATTGTGGTAGGGAGACGGTGCAATGAAAAAATGGTGGCATGTTATATGGTATGATTAGGTGATGGTGCGATAGAACCTGGTGTGTTGGAGAATTATCCGCAGGTTGCACAGGTGCCGGACTCGGGGGTATGGCGTTAATCAAGATGAACGGCACAGCTGTCTAGCTTTCATGGCTTAGATTTGAGAGCTTGTCTAGCACAGGAGATACCAGAATATAGGGCAGCATTTACTGCGTCATGGGGGCTTGATATTCGTATCCAGATCCTGTCATGGACGACGATGACTATTCGACCGTGAAGAATGTTCTTTGACCTTTGCCTTTACCAAACTCGATTCGTCAAAAAGCTTCCTCTTCTCCTTCTTCTTCTTCTTCTTTGAAAACGTTGCACTAAATAAAAAAAGACCGTTGATGTCAATCAAGCATCAAATCTCGCCCCTCAAATAAGCCTTTACCTCTGTCCCCCACACATTTTTATTTTTATACGCAGCAATGCCAGGTGCACTACCCGTGGCCAGGCCGTCGATTGCCTCTGCGAGTATCTCGCCATTGCCTTCGTCGCGGAGTTCGGAGAGGGGGTACATGTATGTCTAAAGGGGGGGATTTTTTTTAAGTCAGTGTCAAGGGGGGATGGACGCAGGAAAGGAAACGGGTACCTTGAAAGCAAAGACGATGGCTTTGGTTTTGGGGAGTCTGTGTAGAGTTTGGCGTTCGCATCTTAGGACTGTTTGGGTTGGGTTTATTTTTACAGTGTCTTTTTGCTTTTCGTCTTCGACTTCGTCTTCGTCTTCGTCCTTTTGCTTTGCCTCCTTTTCCTTGATCCCCCCTTCCCTTCCCGTCCTAAATAAGCCCGCCATCCCCTCCAACCCCACACTCCAATTCACCCTCCCCACACACCGCCCAACCTCCAAACCGGCAAAAAACCGTTCCATGCTGCGCTCCAGCTTGTCCGCATAGTGCGGCACGGGCGCGTGGATGGCGGATAGCGACAGTCCGAGTTTGGAGCGGGGGGAGAAGTGTGAGGGGAAGGCGCAGAGGTGGGATTGGAGGGTGTATTGGGATTGGGGTGATTGTAGTTTGGATTTTAATTTTGATTGTGGGGACGCGGAGACGGCGTCGGATGGTAGGAGGAAGAAGAAATCGGAGTCGATGTTTGCGTTGAGGGATTCCAGGGCTCGCTTCGCTTTTTCTGTTGTTTTGTTTGGGTCGTGTGTATTCGCATCTTCGTCCCCATGCCCATCGAAGCCCAAATCCAACACCATCCTCGCCCCCGTCACCTCATTCTGCAAATACCCTGCTCTTGCATCCTGCTCATCCCCACCACCACCACCATTACTACTGCCACCATCGCACTCCAACCTAAAGATATCAGGATATCGCCCCGGCAGCCAACACCGCGTCAAATACGCATACAGCTCCAACACCGCAGGCGCAGCACACGGGTTACAAGCCAGGATTTCATAGCGGTGGTCACGTAGCAGGGATCGGCGCTGTCTGAGGCGTTCGGTATATGTATTGTCGAAGGGAAGGAGGGCGGAGAAGGGGAGGGATTGGAGGGCTGGAGTGGGGAGATTGTTGGTTGTGTTGGCTGTGTTGGGAAAGGAGGGGGAGGGAGAAAGACGTACCCATTGTCATGTGGTATTTTGGTTTAAAAGGGCGGAGTTTGAGTGGTTGTTGGGTGGAGAGGGTGAAGTTTTGGAATGGGGTTATGGTGTAGTAGGCTGAGATGTTGGATTCTTTGGGGGAGTGGGTGGGTTGTTGTGGGTTTGTCTTTGGGGGGGTGGGTTAGTGGGATAGTTTTTTTTATGTATGAGGAGCATGTATATGGTTGTAGACTCTACTCTACTCTGTCTTACCCTCTTTTTCCCCCATGCTGTCGTCCAGATGAGAATCAGCAGCACGAGAGCAGATGCGATGGTCCAGGTTGGCGGTATATTGATGCCGTTGATGAGACGATCCATGGCTATTGCGGAAGATGTTGATAGATATTAGTTCTAGGTTCGGTGGTGAAGATTCGTGGGACCTCGTTGACGGACTTCAAAGGCCAGGCCTACCCCAATACGATGTACAATCGTGCGAGGCATATAGGGCGTACTTGACGTACTGTCGATGGGGTGAAGGGGGCGCGTCGGACCAATCAGAGGCCACAGACGGTGGGTGGTGGACATGCAAGTGGGAGACTGGATGGGACTGCCGGATTGGGCTTACCCCACCTTTCTTTGTGGATGTGCTTCCGTGCGAGGGACGGGACGGGAAGTGGGATGGCGAATGGGATGGAGAAGCAGGACGATGGTAATGAAATGTGTCTGGTAGTATGGTAAAGAGGAATCCATTATCAAGTCTGCATGATTCACGAACGATTCGTGTCGTCCGTTTATCCATGGCCATGTACCGATCCCATTCGACCCTTCTCTTTCACCACAAGTCTGATACTGTCTGTTCGATCTTTTTCTTTCACCATAGCTTTGTACTGTCCATTCGACCTTTTTCGTTCGACATACATGTGGTCGACTTTTACTCCCTCATCCCTACGCCCCCTAAGCCTTGACCTCGTCTGCCTCTGGACTGCCCACAGGAACCAATTTGCCGACGACCAGATACTTGTCCTCGAACCTCTCCTCCCAACCTCTCAGGGCCTCCATCTGCTCGGCATCCAGATCCTCCAAGGTATCCAACGGTCCATCGAGATCCTTGGTCAGCATGTCCTCATCGAAGCTGCCACAGGCCAGCCCGCGACTGGCATCGCGACCTGCAAAGTTGGCGTACGGACCGCCCGGACCATAGAAGTTGCGGCCAGAGGTGACGTCGAAGACACGGCCACGGACGGCGAGGTAGACGGGCATGCCGTGGAGGCCGTTGTAGGGGAAGAGTATGGGGGGCGTGAAGGTGCGGAAGACGGTGGGCGGGGTGGCGCGGGGTAGGGTTTGCGGCTTTGCGGGCTTGAGGCGCAGGTAGACGAGGAGGACGAAGAGGGAGAGGAGGATGAGGTTGATGGGCGTGGCTATCGAGGCGCTGGATGTTGTTGGTATGTGGCCAGTGTGCGATGGGAAGCGAAGCGAGGATGGGCTGGCTGGAGTACGATGGATCGGACTTGCTTGCTTGCTTACTTACACAGTGGTTGCTGGTGGAGGTTCGATGGCTGTCCCATACATGTTAGCCTTTGCATCGATTTCTGTTTGCCCTTGTAGTTTCCTTACTCTCTGGCATGTTGCCTGGTGGCAATGATGTGTCTGCCATTTCTCTCGAGATGAAGTGCGATGGCTTTGATCGACTTGTAGGGTGGAGGAGTGGAGTGGGTGAATGTCAATGTCAATGTCAATGTCAATGTCAATGTCAATGTCAATGGTGGGTTCTGGTCGTGACGAGCAAGTTGCTGGCTCGTTCTCCTTTCCCGCTTTCGCCTTCGCCTTCGCTTCTCGCTTCTCGCTTCCGTCTTCCGACTGACGATGACGCAACCTCGACGCTGACATGAGCAGGCGACTGTTGGCCTATCAGCACGCGCCAATGTGCTTGGCAAGGCCACTCTGACGTGCATCTTCACAGCCTTCTCTCGCATTGGCATCTCTTGGGCGGGGTACTGGCTAGGTAGATGAACAGCCTCAAAGGCTTGCGTGTTGTTGTTCTTGTTCTTCTTGTTCTTGTTCTTGTTGTTCTTGTTCTTCTTGTTCTTCTTGTTGTAGTCGTGGTAGTGGTCGATCAAAGGCTGGTGGGCACATGACAGCTGACAGCACCTGCAATTCACCTCCACTCGCCTTGCCATCAGCTGGCATCTGGCAGACCATTCATTCCACACAACACCAAACTAACTGAACTGCATTTTCTACTGTCCACACTCACACACTCACCACTTCACTCCACCTGCCGCCGTGGGACCGAGCCTGAAACGCTACCCGCAGCTTGAAACACCTCTTGGCGGTCGTTCATCTCCCACGCCGCAGTCCCGTCCCATTCGCCCTCCACGCCTCAAAATAATCACCGCCCCATCCGAACAAAAACACGGTTGGCTACCATCGCACCACGGCAACAAAGGAAGACCCAGCCAGGCGTCAACAGTGGCGCTGCGCTGCCTTGCTGACTCGCCGCTGCTGTCTGCTGGGACACAGTCTCTATTGTCACCGAACGAGAGACTGCACATGCACATGCACATGCTACCCTACCTGTGCACCTACTCATTGCTGACGGCTAGCCACTCTACTCTACTTGATCTGGCGATCCAAGCTCCCTCCCCAGCTCAAACTCATTCGCCTACCTTGTTCCCCTCTTCATTTATCGGAAATTACCACGCAAAGCTCGAACACGGAGTACCTACTGTGTTCTTGCGAATTTCCTTTCTGCATCTGCTCACTTGTCCTGTTTGCACTGTACACTTGCAAGTCAACTGCTGGCTCTCCAACTCGCTCTCTTGACAAGGTGTGTACTTTTGTTTTCCTTTGATTTCTCTTAACCCGACAATCCCACTGTGCTTTGACTCGAAAAAGAAAAACTCCCTACGTCGATGGATGGGGATCCTGGAAACAGTGATATCATCACAACAGCAAGAGAGCATCTGCGCAACGACAACATGGCTGCCAACATCACATTTCCTCGAGCCCACGAGACTTCAAAAGCCTGCAACGTCCATGTCGAACAGCGCAATCCAGCATAATGTTCGCATCATCCCAGACGTCTCACGGCTTCATCTCAATTTGCCCTTTTATGCGTTGCCCCTCAAGTGCTTGCCAGACTCGGCACTAGACCCTGCAGCAGCCCATCGATTTGAAAGTCGCGCAGACTGTCATTTGTTTCTACTGAGAGTGGCCAATGATGAACAGGGCTAACGATTGTTTCGTACAGGAAGCTTCACCATGTGGAAACGATTACAGGGTCATGTTCGAGAAAAGGAGAGGAATGCGCAAATCGGCAATCCGGTTCTTCTTGAAACAACCTATGACGAGAATCAATTACGGCAAAATCCCAATGTGAATGATGCTCAAGTAGCCAATTACCAGAACAATGCGCCTGCGCCGCTGCCATCACAGTAGGTTATGAAAGCGCACCGCTCGACCATGTACTAACACTTGCAGCAGCCTTTCACCAGTCGGCCCTCCAAACTACAGAGCTTCCGAAGTTCCAAGTGTCACTTCGGCCTACTCTCGACCTTCATACGACCTGAGTTACTACTACGAAAATCACCCAACTACTTCGCCCTACGACATCTCCCCGCCCAGTTCACCAGAACCAGATCGCCAACTCTCCTCAAATACCGATCAACCGAAAAGGTTCCGCTCCATGCGCGACGTATCACCCATGGACGAGAATCGAAAAAAGTGGGAGACTGGATCGCGACCAATCAGCAACATTCCCGTTCTACGAAGAGCACCACCTGTCCTTCAGACTGGCGAACCCCACGCCGTACCCAAGCACAAGTTTTGGGAGGGAAAGCTTGCGCCGAATAGTAAAGTGAAATGGGATGACTACTCAGGCGAGCCGAGTAGCGTAGGAAAAGCGGCCTCGGTGAGCCCAGGATCGTATGCAAAAGCTGTACCTTCGGAAAATAAACCCATGGGATATTCTGCGACGATTTCAGGACCCGAAAAGAAGACTGCATCATTGACTGAGCGCATAGGACTCTTTGGGTCCAAGCCAGCACCTGTTGAACCATGGAGTCGAGCAACAGGCCGGTCTGAGATTGCGCCAGCATTGAAAGACGACCCAGCCGCTAAACCACTCCAATTACCACGCAAAGCAATCTCATCAGCAGAACCGCGCACGGACATGGCGGCGTCAAGCGCGCGTGCGCCTGCTTGTAGAAGAGACCTTCAGGCCGCTGTAACGCAATTTGTAACAGCCGAGACACTCGACTTCGATATGCATAACGACCCCATCAAGCCGGTTGTGCCCCTCAAAGTAGGCAAAAAAGGATCTCCGGGAAGTGGATATACGTCTCCAACCTCCCCCACAAACCAAGGCCTTGGAATTCATCCATTTGTACATGCTAGTTCGCCTACGCACACAAGGCGGCGATCAGATTCGCCAGATACAGTAGTGAGCGTATCGAGAGAGGCAGCACTACCTCCGACGCAGAGAACTGCCACGCCACCATACACCACAACAGAAAGGAACAACAACAAAGAGACACCAGAGTCGAGCAGAGAGATTTCAGCAAGTCGCTTTCCCTGGACGACCTACAACAGCGGAACAACATACCAACATTCCCCTCCCCCGTCACCACCCCCACCCCTCCCATCCTCGACGCCTCTTCCGAGGCAGCGCGTAGTCACAGAGCCCATCACCGCCGCTTCCTCGATTCTCAGCCGCCGCCGTCCCATCCCACAAGCAGACCGCATCGTCTCCCACCCCACCACAGCCACCACCCCACTGCGCAACCCCTCCCCACCACCCACCATGCCCGGCACCGCCAAAATCCACTCCCCAACCCCCATCTCCCCCCCCTCCCCATCCACCCGCTCCACCCTCTCCACCACCACAACCACCAAAGCCCTACCCCAACCCCCAACCCACATCTCCGCCTCCGACCACATCGGCCTCCTCGAATCCCAACTCGAAGACCTCCGCATCCGCCGCACAAACGTCTACCGCCTCCTCACCGACCTCAACAAGGCTGCCCCGCCCAACCCCCTTGTCACGGATTTCAAGCGCGCCCGCCTTGTCGAGGCGAGGAAACGCGGGTTTGAGGACGAGTTGAGCGAGATCAAGCGCGAGGAACATGATGTGGGACTTAAATTGCATCGGGCGTGGAAGAAGCGTGAACGTGAGGATCCGGGGGCTGGGAATGTGTTGTGGGTTCGTAGGGTTACTGGTTAGAGATTTGGGTGGTGGTGATGGTGGTGGTGTGTATGATGTATGATGTATGATGTGATGTGATGTCTTTGTAATTCGTTCTTTTCTTCTTGTTTTGGTATGATATCCAGATGCTACCTCTTCCTTCTCTCTTACCTCCTCTCTATTTTTTGTGCCATTGTCCGTCTTCAACACAGACAGACACAAAAACAGAAACAGAAACAGACAGACGGCAATCAAATCCAAATCACACCCCCCACCCCTCCCAAACAAATGCAAAATCACACCCATCCAAACTCACCACTCCTTTTTTACCCAGTCAAATCCCACCTGCTTTGTTCTCGCAGTGTAGAATGTGGAAAACAGGCTACATGGTCTGGTTTGACATGCAAGAGCTCGGATCAGGATGGTGGGGGTGGGGGTGTGCGTGGTATGGTGTGGTGGATTTCTGGTGGATTTGGGTATACGGGTTAATACTGTGTTGGTGTTTTGTACACGGGGTGGACGCAAAGATGCAAAGATGTGAAGATTTGGGGCTGGTGGGAAGGGCGAGGGGAATTCGATGGGTTGGGATGAATAAAAGGACAAGATGGAAGCTCAATTAAAAAAAACAAAGCCACGTAAACCAAAGTACCCAAACACATCAACAACAGCACAACATTTCCAAGATTGAATAATCAAACGACCTTTGTATTTTCTTAATGCCATGATTACAGAACCTCATGGCCAACATTTCCCAGCCCATGGGAAGGAGTAAACTTCCTCGTCAGACACACACACCGAGAGAGAGCGAGGTGGCATGATAAAAAAGCCTCCGTCATCTCCACAAAGGCGCACACGTGCACACAGCCATGCAGAGGGAATGCTACTACACTCGGGATACCAGATAGACAACAGATAAGGAAAAGACTCCTTGCAAACAGCCACCCGAAGCGACAAAGGAATGGCATGGACCGCACCGCAACGCAACGCAGCATCCTAGCCAGTCACACCTCCAGAGACACCTTTGACCTTGCCATGGATATCAACGTTGTTGGGGCGGCATCAGAGTCCACAAGCGGTCGAATTCTGCGCCCATACACAAGTTACATGCCGATTGGCCTGGGACAAGGCTGCTAGGAAAAGAGTTCGATTTACTACTAGTGACCGCACAAGGTTCCGTCTAGTAGCGACCGCGAGGAGGGTAGTCAGCGGCGGCTGGGTCATAGGGTGGACGACCTCCAGGGCTGCGGGGACGAGCGCCACGTGGAGAGGGCGGGCGTCCGGCTTCGTAGGGTCGGCCACCACCGTTCATGTATGGGTCGTCGTAGCGACGGGGTGGAGGTCCGGCCCTGGCATCGTAAGGATCGTCAGGGTAGCGCGCACGCGGTGGGCCATACTCATCAGGTATGCGACCACGAGGCGGCGAGCGTCCTCCGTAACCTCCCTCACGCCTATCATAGAACTCGCGCGGAGGCGTGCGTCGGCGGTAGTCGTCGCGACGAGGGCTGTAGCCGCGAGGAGGTCCACGGCGATCGTAGTAGTCGTCGTAGGGGGCAGGCGGATAGCCACCACCGCCGCCGCGACGGCCCATGGGCGAGCGAGATCGATACCTGTCACGACCCCTGTCATCTGGACCTCCAGGGCCTCCATAGGGAGCCCGGGGCTTGTAGGGAGGAGGTGGGGGCGGGTCGGAAACATCCTCGGTGCAGCCTACTTCCTGGCCCTTGAACTCACGGCGGTCCAGCTTCTCGACTGCAGCCTTGAGATCGGCCGCGGTCTCGTACTCGACAAATCTGCATGCACACGTCAGCCGCGGTCGCGCAAGAGCGGACATGTACAATACTGACCCAGTGCCATCGCGCTCACGGCCAACTTCAGAGTAGACAACGTCCAATCCAGACTGGCGGGCGAAGTCCTTAAGATCCTATACATGGAGGTTAAACGGGTCCAAATCCAGTAACGCAGAACGAGGAAGCATGCAAAACAAGGCTACTGCTGGTCCTAGCACGGTACACTGGCCTGAAGGGGGAACTGGGGAATCCAAGCATCGGGGAGTCTAACCTGCCAGCTGGTCTCTACGGGAAGACTCGTAATCCTCATCCGGTACGGGGTACGTCTTGGACGCGGGGGAACACGCTCATGGGGAGTGAAGTTCTCGTTGCGCGCGCGGGAGCCACGGGCGAACTGGACAATGAGGCGCTCGCCCATGAAGTCGGAGCCATCTATGCTGGTCAGGCGCGCGTCACAAGAGCAGGCGCTGCAGGATACATACGGAAAGCTGCGAGGGTGGTTAGCATGTGTGACAGAGCCAGACTGGGGCATGCGACTTACCAGGAACGACGTCACGCGCATCCATCGGGTCTTTGTACTCGATGAAGCCGAAGCCGTTCATGAGCTTGACCTCTGTGATCTCGCCGGTGCCGTGAGTCTGAAAGTGGGCCTCGACATCGGCCTTGGTGGCACTGCGGGGGAGGTTGCCCAAGTACAGGCGGGTGGAGGAGACCTCGGTCATGGTGGCTGGTGAGAAGAAAGTGCCCTAGAGAGAACCTAGCCTGGTGAGGGCAGTGAGCGCATGTAGACGAACAAAAGCAGGGAGGCCAGCAAAGGAGCGCGCATCGTGTCCGCCAGAATTGACGCGGCGCGACAAGCTGCTTGGTAATCTGCGCCCAGGCGGCGACAGCAACACGCGACAGTGAATGATGGAGAAGACCTGGGCTGCGCGCAACAACAGGAACCAGAGACGCGCAGGGAGATGGCCAACGGATGCAAGTACAGGCGGCTGAGTCGTACCTTGGAGACAGTTGGCGGCACTGGAAATCCTGCTCGAGGAGTATGGCCGTCGCAGGGAACCTAAAGAACTCTCAAAGGGCCTGGGTACGCGCCGGGCAAGTGCAAATATGGCACACTGGAGATGCAGAGGCGAATGCAGAGGCGAATGCCACTCTACACGGAATCGCAGGAGGGCAATGGTAGTTCGATGGGCGGGGAAAACAGGAATTGATGATGTTTATGGGCCCCGGGTGGTGGATGATGGGGGATGGGTGGTTGATGGATGGGTCGAGGGCGAATGGACGATGACATGGAAATCGCCCAACGCCTCATTTGCTTGGGCGCGCACGGTCGCTGCATCACGTGCACTTCTCTCCCCTCTGCCCTCTTCCCCTCTCCCCTGTTACCTCACCTCACCTCACCTCACCTCACCTCACCTCCAGAGGCTCTGGCCAGCTGTAGACATGCCCCCTTGTTCTGTCTACTTGCCTCGTTTACTTCTTAGGATCCTCTTCAAACGAAATCATCCCGCGTTCGACAGACTTTCTTTCCTTTCTAGCTCGACAACGCGATGGATTTGCTTTTGTAGTATCAAGACATCAAAGACAAAGTTGGGCACCCATGTCCTGTCGATGACTGACTGATTGGCATACACACTTTTCCCGACCCTTGCTAATGTACAACACGCCCACATCGGGCCGCCAGGCCCAAGAGGCGATGAATACTATGAAGATGTGATGCGCACATGACCGACTTCCCATGGCCACTCTTGCCTAGGTGAGCACATACTTCGGACCCTCACCACCTTGTGGCGTCTGCCAGTTGATATCCTGGTCTGGTACTTTTATGTCGCATGTTTTGCAGTGGACGCAGCTGGTGTCATGTTAGCATCTAAATAATCAGGGCCAGTACTACGGCTGTGACTTACTTTTGAGCATTAATCTGAAATCTAACGCCCAGCTCTTTACTCTCATCTTCGACATACTCATAGACGCCCGCCGGACAGAAGCGGTTCTCTACACCCTTGTACTTGGGCCATTCCTTGGCAGCATGTGCATCCCAGTCCTTCACCTGAAGATGGCAAGGCTGGTCCTCTTCGTGGTTTGTACCGCTTCTGCTCACGCTTGTCAAGATGTCGAAGCTAATCTTGCCGTCTGGTTTGGGGTACTCAATCTTCTCACACTCATCTACCGTCTTGGTAGCTGCATGATCGGGTTTACCATGCTTGAGTGTCCATGGCACCCTGCCCTTGAGTAAATAGGCTTCTATGCCAGAGTAGAGCACTCCACCGTAGAGACCAAGCGGGGTGTGGAACGAGGGTCGCATGTTCCGTACTGCTTTTAGCTCTTTGAACACGGACGAATTGCGCATCTTGTCTTCATAGTCGAACAAGAACACCGTGCCGCCATCAGTGTTGGTCTGAAGCGCGTCCCAGGTAGCTTCGGCAGCCAGCATACCAGATTTCATGGCGTTGTGAGTGCCTTTGATCTTGGGTAAATTGACCAGGCCTGCTGAGTCTCCGAGCAGGGCTCCACCGGGGAAAGCAAGCTTCGGTATGGACTGGTAGCCACCCTCAATGAGTGTCCTTGCACCATATGATATACATTTACCGCCTTCTAGGACATTCTTGTACAGAGGATGGTGCTTCATCTTCTGAAACTCACCATAGGGAGCCATCCATGGATTAGGATAGTCCAGACCGACCACCAACCCAATACTAACAAGATTGTCACCGAAGTGGTACATCCAACCGCCACCGTAGGTATCCTTGGGTAATGGATAGCCCATGGAGTGAACAACAAGCCCAGATTCGAATTTCTCTGGCTGCACTTCCCAGACCTCCTTGATCCCGAGCCCATAGGTTTGATGTTGACTGTCTCTCCTGAGGTCGTACTTCTTGATGACCTGCTTCGACAAGCTACCGTGGCATCCCTCACCTAGCAGTGTTACACGAGCATGAAATTCCATACCGCGCTCAAACGAGTCCTTTGCTTTGCCTTCTCGCGAGATACCAAGATCATTGGTGGCAACACCCTTTACAACCCCCTCGTGATTGTAGAGGATCTCCGAGGCAGCAAATCCTGGGTAGACCTCGACTCCGACCTCCTCTGCCCGCTCGCCCAGCCATTTGACCATCTGATTGAGACTGATGATGTAGTTGCCGTGGTTGTTCATCTGCGGAGGCTTCGGTAGGGGGATCGAGCCGTTCTTGGTGAGGAAGCGCATGCGATCTTCTCGGGCGGGGGTGACGTCTGCGAAGCGATTCAGATTGTCCTCGGACCTCCAGTCTGGCAGCAGCTCGTCGAGTGCACCTGGCTCGATGACATTGCCAGACACGATGTGGTCGCCCAATTCGCCAGCTTTTTCCAATACGAGCACCCTAAAGTCTTCGTTGCCAGCTGCATTGGCCAATTGCTTCAGCTTGATGGCCGCTGACAGACCTGCGGGCCCTCCACCCACAATGCAGACATCCACCTCGTCCACTTCGCGTTCTATTGATTGTGGGTTGAATGTGTCGTCTGCCGCCGCCGCCAGTCGCGTGCGTGGAGTGGAGGAAAACGCTCTCCTCTGGCCAGCGATTCGCACTACAGGCCGGTATGATTGCCACAGACTTTGTGTCTGCGAGTGCGCACATGTCAATGAGCGTGCTCGAAGGCGGGCTGCTTGTGGCGCGACAAGCAATCGCCGTGTGAACGAGGCGGGGAGTGTCCTGGTGGCCATTGTGACGTGGGGGCGACTGCGGGGGTGCAAAGGGTGAAACCAAGGGGGACCGTGATCTCAATGTTCCAGAGTCAGAGTCACGGACTGATTGCGCCCGCCACCAACCTTCTACACTGGCAAGTCGTGAAGATCAACCACAACTATGAGGATACCAAGAATGTCCCCAGCCGAGGCAAGAGGCTAAACGCGGCTCGGAAATGGCGTCGCTCTCATTGGCTGGGCATTGTTGCTGGTCTACATCCTCCCTTCCAACCTTTCACTTGCAAACTCCAACCCAAAGAGAAGACCCTCAGAAAGTTGCCAACCAAAAACCCATCTGTTTCCTTGCGGTTGTACTTGTGCTTGTGCTTATGCTCTTGGAGGCAGCAGACAGTATCCGCTGTCCACCGCAGTCTCGGCCAGCGACTTACCAGTAACCATGCTATAACCGCTCGCTTCAACCATGTAGGTAGCTGGCCCACACCTCCATGTCGCATACAATGTTAGCGACGGTACCTTAGAGTACAACAGTACACACTTCAGCTTCATGTTCAATGGTGTCCAAGAGACAACCCCACAAATACGCCTGACAATGGCGGCGGCTGCAGTATCCAGCTGTCAAAATGACGTCGCCCCAACGATCGCTCAATTTGAATTATCCACGTCACTTTTCGACTCGGATGGAAACCATCCGTCCAACGACAAGCACGCCATGAAACTCCTCTAAGCTTGGGCGCGGATGCTATCTACAGCTGACCTTCACATCTCTTGCACTCGTCTGTTCAAAGCTGCAACTAGCCTTTCGCTTCGAAGGTTGACATTTTGCATCTGAAACTGGAGAGGCGTCAGGCCCATCCATACCCGAGGCACCAAACTTATGCGTTTAGGAGGGTCTCTCCTTAACCAAGTCCAGCTGCAACAAACTCTCAAACGACACACGTTCGAATTTGGGCCAAGCATGAGCCAATCCCATTGGTTGACAGGCATGGGCCTCTTTCCAACCGCCTCTCCACGATCCAAGTTCTCGACTTCATGTGTTTGATTCGACCGTTTCCCACCAAGAAATCGACTTCGATGCATGACAGACAGCTTTCAAGCGACGCGATGCTTCTTGTTCCTGTAGGAGAATTGTGGGGTTGCCTTGTTTTCTTGTCCTTTGGGCCTGACCGCCTCAGGGTATCCTCCTACAGCGCATGTTCGACATGCACGGGATCAACAAAACAGACATCTCAACAGGCGGGCTTGAGTGTCCTGCCCTCTGCCTTAGTCGTAATGGTTTGCTACATCTATGAGTTAACGCATATATAAGATCCATTCGCTTCATGGTTTGAACGGCACGCCCGGCTTCAACATTTCCATTGCATCCTTTTCTGTGCAGGGCACTTCTTCGCTAATCTTTTATCTTTCTAAGAGCTGTGCTCATTTTATCGTTTCAACACATCTCGTTTCGTTCCTTCGAAGATTAATCCAAATCCTTCAGTATGAGGTACTCATACACCCTTCTCACACTCATTTCTGCCACCTTTGTGGTCGCAGCTCCAGCCCCTTTTGTCGGTACTGGACCTGTCGTCACGGCTGGCACTGAAGATGTAGTGATTCCTACTACCAACTTTGGTCGCCGCGTGGCCACCGTTCAGGATTTCACAAAGAGGGCCATGAAGCTCCGTGGTGCGCTTTTGGCTGCACGCGGTGGACAGGGCAAAGAGAATGCTAATGCTGCAGCTGCGGAAGAAGCTGCGGCCATGGGCGAGGGGCAGGCCCAAGAAGGTGAAGCAGCTGCGGAGCAAGAGCAAAGCAAACAGGCCAAGGCCGGGCAAGTTGCACAAGACGCCAGTGCGATGAACCAAGCTGCAGAAGAGGAAGCAGCTCAACAGGAGGCCGCCCAGGGTGGAAAAGGTGCTGCCGAAGAGGAAGCCGCTCAGCAGGACGGAATGGAGGCTGCGCAAGAGGGAGCCGCCCAGCATGAAGCCGCTCAACAGGACGCTGATCAGGGTGGAAAAGAGGCTGCTCAGCAGGAGGCCGCTCAAGAGGAAGCTGCTCAAGGCAAAAAGGAAGCTGACCAGCAGGAATCCGCTGGACACGCTGGACAAGACGCTGCCCAAGAGGGAGCCGGTCAACAGGAAGCTAACCAACAGGGCGGAATGGAGGCTGCCCAAGAGGGAGCTGCACAAGAAGGCGCCGCTCAACATGAAGCCGAAGAGGGTGCTGCTGAGCAGGGTGGAAAAGAAGCTGCGCAAGAGGGAGCTGCACAAGATGAGGCCGCCCAACATGAAGCCGCCCAACAGGAAGCCAACCAGCAAGACGGAAAGGAGGCTGCACAAGAGGGAGCTGCACAAGAAGGCGCCGCCCAACACGAAGCCAACCAGCAAGACGGAAAGGAGGCTGCACAAGAGGGAGCCGCACAGGATGAGGCCGCCCAACACCAAGCCAACCAGCAAGACGGAAAGGAGGCTGCACAAGAGGGAGCTGCACAAGAAGGCGCTGCTCAACATGAAGCCGCTCAGGTTGAGCAAGACGCTGCTCAAGAGAAAGCTGGAGGAGAAGCTGGCCAAGCCGAAAACGCTGCTGGCATGGTCGACAACGGCGCCGCTGTCAACGGTACCGAAGGAGCCGCCGGGTGCAATGCCACCCAACCCATGGGCGAAGGCGAGGGTGAAGGCAACGGCAACGACAACGGCAATGGAACGGCAGGCGATCAAGGAGAAGGCCAAGGCCAAGGCAGAAACAACGGCGAAAATGCTGACGCCGGTGCTGGCGAAAGCCCTGCTGATGTTACGCTCCCCGACCTCCAGCTTCTACAAGGAGAAGGCGAGGGGGCCGGACAACAAAGACAACAGCAGGGTGGCAGCCTGTCCGACCTGGTCAACGATCTCCTCGACGGTGCTCGCGGCGCCGCGGGTGGTGCGGGAGGAGCTGGTCTCAATTTGGGCAACCTTGGTGCCGGACGTGAACAGAAGAGGACTGCGACTGCTTTCCGCGCTTAGATGGGTTGGCGTAGTTGAGGTACAGGGGAAACGTGACAGAAGGGCGATATGGTGATGAACAACACTGTTTGCGAGTACACATAGTTTTTATTGAGAGGATCAGTACAGTTAGTTTGATATTTGATCAAATAATCAATCCCAGCGCTCCTAGTGAGCCAGGCCCCAGTTCCACAAAAGGCTGGAAAAATCTAATCCGTGTCCTGTCTACTCCTTGTCTACACGACTTTTCCCCCTTCCCTTCTCCCGCTTGACTAATTCCAACACTCCAGCCTCTACCTCTCCTCTCCCCATCACAGCCATACATCCTTCCTCTATACAGCGTACTCCGCTTTCCTGCCATCCCCTCCCTACGCCCGCAACCGCCTTCCGGATCGCCTCGTGCGTGCAGTATATGCACAGTTTGGCGCTGTGCGCGCAGTGCGGTGTTGGTGGTGCAGCGGGGTATTCTCGCGGGAGACGGCGATGGTGGCATTCTGGGCAGGGTTGGAAGGTCAGGGTTGGGATTTCTTGTTCTCCGGGTCGTGATGGTCGTGGTTTTGGCTGGGGTTTTGGCTGGGGTGGTGATCTCAGTGATGGTTGAGCTGGGTTTGGGGGTTGGTCCTGCGGCGGTGGTGGTGGTGGTGTACTCCATGGATCCTGATACATCGCCCGCGGTGATATTGTGGTAGAATTTTGTAGTTGGTTTTCGGGCTCAACAGAGAAGAAAAGGGAGCGATAAATGCTTTTTGGTGTGGGGTGGTGGACTATAAGACGGTCAGAGAGGGAGATGGTGTCCGATTGTTGGATTGGAAGCCGGGTTGGGGTGTGGCGTTTGATGCGGAGACGCATTTTGTATATTCGTGCGTGTATACGTATATATATGCTCTGGTGGTTCTAATTGGAGTCAGGAGAGCGGGGGAGCGATGGAGGGACTTCCGCTGGAAAGCAATGGGATGAATTATAGATATGCTGGGGGGCACTAGCGTGTGACATTATATTCGAACCACGGCGCTAATTCCCAGTGTAGTCTGTAGGACGACGTATGCGAAAAATTCGACTGTATGGACTCCACGTATATGCTGCATAACTACGCATGTTGTGATAGGTATCTCTTTGTCTTGTGATGATGATACCAAAATACGTTACAGATTCTATAACAATAACCAACCATCGTCGCTGGAATGATCAATACCAGTGGCTCCTCGAATATCGTTCGGTACGGACGGTACTAGCTCAGGACTCGAAAAGAACTCATCCCTTGCGCTAGAACACGACTGCTTTGGTCGACATACCATCATGAATCCATCATCGTCGCTTGAAAGGCTATGGTCCTGGTCTGGAGTTGATTTTGTTAATGGGCAGGGGATCAGAGGCCGAATGACCAACGTAGATGTAGAAGGGACCACGATGTCGCTCTCGTTATGGGATCTTTCTTGCCCATCCAAAGCTTGGTCAACCCCATCGATGACGGAGGACACCGGCAGCATGGAAGGTTGGTCACAGATCATTTCATTTGTCAAGTCTTTCGAATCAGATTCAGTTACAGAGATATCTGCAGGACTACCTGTTTGATTTGGAGGTAGACAGATGATTGCGCTGGCGCCTGTTCTCTCTTAGCTCGAATCATTTATCTTGAGTGAGTGACCTACAGTCGTCCTCAAAGCCTCGCTCTATATTAGTGCGACATAGGTCTTGCCCAAAAGAAGGGATCTCGGAAACTAAGGTGAGGAATTCTTGGTTGTGGTCAAGGCGATGACTGATATATGTCGAGACGCAATAGTTGTGTAAAGTAGCTATTATACCATGCTGAGAGCGAAGATTTGGATTGTCAAAGCACTTGTAGATGAAGCGAATTGTGTTCAGAAGATCTACCGGATGGTCGTGCAGGTAGGTAGCGGCTTCCAAGTGACATGTGAAGTTACCATGAACGAGAAGCTGAAGTTTGTGGAGATCGAAGTCGACAGCCATCTTGTATGCATGGGCTTGAAGAAGCAACGTGCTCTCTTGACCTTCCGAGAAATGATTCAGGGGAGTGCCAGTATAGCAGTATCGAAGCAGTGCGATCATAGCGGATTTAGAAGGTGCATCGATGCTAGCCTGTAGTCGACCGCGATGTCCAACCTCAAATGCATGGAATAGCAATGGGCAACGGTCAATAAGCCTGTAGGGGTCGACGCTGTCTGAGATATGACAGACCTCGCCACTGGGAAGGAGAACCTTCAGCGTAGCATGGCTCAGGTCGGAGGGAATCTCATGAAGGAAGTCGAGGTCGTCCATGGCAGACGTGAGGTTAATCTTTGGCAGATTCAGACCAAACCCGAGTTTCGAAGTGAATCAGTGAACGATCCACTAACCAACTATGCACGCGTACAGATGCCCAGCGACTTCAATCTGGGCTACCGCCCGGGCCCAGCGGACTGGTGAATCGTACAACAGCAGCGTAAGTCGAGTAGAAGTGTGAATGGTAGAAAAGTAGAAGAAGTGATTCAGATGCAACAAGAAGAATTCAAATGGTTCAGTGAGGCGAGGCTTGGTGAACTGAAGGGTCAAGCTAGGCTGCCATTGCGGGGACGCAGCTCAGCATGTGCATGTGTTCTCGGTGAGTGCTTCGGGCAATGCGTGCTATGCAGCCAAACCACGGTTCAGATGAACTCTAGAGCACAACTTGGAACCAGAAAGTCAACCAAGGTCTGGTCGAATTGTATGCCGGGCGAGAAGAGAGAGGTGTCACTGTCACTTGTGGCGGGGTAAAGCGTTTGGACGGGCTGGTGATGCCCTGCGGCGAGGGGACCAGGTCGTGCATCACTGCGGTTGCCTGGCAGTTGATTGGCCTTGCAGGGCTGGGAGAGGAATGTGGCATCCAATGGGTCGATGGAAAGGGACTGTGCAGCCGTTCTTGCACGACTGATTGACGAGGTTGGCGTCAGTCAGCTGCAAGGGTGTTGTTTGGCGAGGAGAAGTGCAGGAGAGAGGAGAGGAGAGCAGCGGGGCCACGAGAGCCAGCAGCCAGCACAGCCAGCTTACCTAAGAGTGGCTGACTGTTTGGATGTGGCGCACGAGAAAGCCTTCAGCCACACATGAACCCACCGGGTCCCACTTGTCAAAAAGCTTACATGGGACACAAGCGGAACAGCGGAAGGCGCCACAGCTGCCTGACTTGCCAACCAGGACCAGGACGACGACTGGGAGATGGGTACAGACTTACTCTACATACCATAGGGACCTGAGACTCTCGCTCTGTGCCGCTCCACCAGGCCTCAGCCATTGCAGTCGCATAACTACTCTCCTGTATAAAAGCGCATACCCTGCATCTCGTGCCGCCAGAGAACATCCATCGCAGACGCAGACTGCTGCAAACAACCACCTCGGGGCGTCCCCAAAGAGCGCCACACTCCCCCCTTCCACATATCCCTCCCTCCCTCCTTTCGCCCCAACATACGCGCTATGGGGCTCCTTTCCATTCTCCCGGCGAGCTTCGCCGTGGTGGAAACATGGATCACACGCCTTTTTGTAAGTGGTGATACAGCCCATCGGTCGACTGCGCAGTATGGCCACTCATGCGGCTCCCAGCTATTCATAGGTGCCCTCATCATCGGCCCATGGGTTGCTCTGCTCCTCTATGACCTTGTCCTCTACATCCTCCGCGCCGTCTCGTATGAGATTCCCGTCATCGGCGGACGCGCTCGCGGTAAGGCACGACCGCGTGCCCCAAGTCTCACCGAACGGCCTAGTGGGCATCGTCGGAAGTTCAGTCTCGCGCGACGCGAGCGACCTACACTGAGTACGGGAGCCATCAAGGACGATCTGCAAGACACTCGCTATCGACGCTTGGCGGAGGAGCAGGAGGACAGCTCATCTGCATCGTGAGACGAACGAATACTCGGTGTGGTCTTGCGCAGTGTGTCTATACAGTCCGAGAAGCATTGTAGCCTGGCGCAGAAGGGGCACTGCCCGACTGTATGCAAGCTGTGTACCGCTCCCAGACGTTACAAGCAATAGACTATCGAGTTGTCTATTGTCACCACACATGTTCCTGAAAACATACTGTGCAGTGAGTGTCGCTCGCCGACTTCGGTACCCGGAAGCACGTCATCGTGTCGTTATTCAAATGAACCATCTCAGTCCCAAAGGCAGAGATGAGTGGATATCCACCGCAGCAGTGCGGATCATGTCTCTCAACTGCCAGTTCTCTCTTGTATGGCCACTTCTGATATATGCCATGCAACACCTAATCACTAATTGCCTTCGATGATTACTCTGACCCAAAAAGATTCTTCCTCAGGATACAAAGAATGCTAATCCATCGTCTCTTACAATCGCAGGGGATCAGTCCCAGATAGGAGCAGGCACCAATCACAGCCCGTATCCCCAAATCACTATGGTAAGCCCATTGAGGCTAGCGCAATATGGAACGCGACATCCGGTCGCATGTCAATAAACTCTCCTCTTCACGCGTCTCTTTCGCCATTACTCCAACACCAATTTCCAGTTGACTACCTTCTCCAGAAACACCGATTTTCATCACAAGATAATCTCTACATTCGGCAATACTCGCCCAAGATTATCAATGGCTCCTTCTACATCCAAGACGACGACTCCCAAGGCGGCCAACACTGCGGGTGTCAAGAAGGCGGTGCGTCCAAAGGGCAGTGGCAAGAAGCATGGTGCTCGGACTGCCATGGTCAAGATGCAAGCTTACTGTAAGTTTTGACCGTCTTCGAGCGCGTTCGACGCGCTTTCTAACGCGATCTCTCCCAATCTGGACGAAGTGGCATGGTGAGGTGATGTACGCTTACGATCAACAACAGTCAAAGAGAACCGCCCCAAATACTCCAAGCTCGACTTCAAAGAGTATGTTTTGTCCATCTGAAATGGCATTTGAACGCGACACTGACTTGACTATTAGACAGCAAAAGGAGCTTGGCAAAGACGTGCGTTCAACCTTCCTGAAGCACAGTACTAAGCGCAATTGAAGCAGCACATGGAACTTTGAAGAACACTTACTGATTTCAATCAGTGGAAAACATCGGCAGAGAACCCAAAGAACGCGGCCGCATAAGCTGTTGCTAGCTCTCTACCCGTTCAATCCTTAGTCGCCCTGGCTTGACTAGCGGGCCCGAGATTACCTTTCCTACTGCATAGAATCACATTCTGAAGGCTGGAGGCTTTAGCAGATGCATCCTGACCCTCGCCGAATCCTTTCTTTCATTTTACCGCCGACGGTGTCTTGTTCTGAGTCAGTTCACTTCTCTCCATGGCCATGGGGAGTTTGGTACTTACAGGCGGTACGCGGCTGCTTTGCACATTCGTAGTTTTGCTTGATGGCAAAATGGATGATCTTTGTTCAAAATTGATTCGTTCCTTCGTGCAAGCAGGAGCTGCAGTGTACCTACATTTGCAGTGACGCGGGCCGTTTAGGCTAATTGCATACAGGGACATAGGTGAGGACCACTGGATTGCAACGAAATACTGCTTCTCAGGTCGGATCTTCCAATGTCCAACCCGAGTACACAGAGAAAGAGAGAGCATAGCCATGTGCAGGTAGCTCTCTCTCTCTCTCTCTCTCTCTCTCTCTCTCTCTCTCTCCACCCATCTAATTGCAAGTGTAAGCTCTTTGTCAGCTTTCGGCGGAGCTAGGCGCTGCCCCGCATTCAGGTTACCGAAAGGTCGCCCCGACATCGTCGCCTCCACATACAAATCCATCTACCGAAAGCTTTGCACGCCGTTCTTTGCGTCGTTCGAGCCTATTAAGCGTAGGGCTTTGGTCAGCCCAGCGTGTGCCTCTCTAGGCGAATTCACGCGTCGAGCTTACGCGGGATAGTTCCGATTATATCTAACTGCTAACATAATCACCTTCTCCAACACTGGGAAAGCTGCTACCTAAACTCTCTGAATATCGTCTACTTGGTCGTGAGATAGCCATTATCAGCTGCAATTCACTGATTCCCCTCCTATTCAATCAATCGCCCACTGCACTTCCACGTTGCGATTTCTCTGCCCTTCAAGCTAGAACCACCTACAGACAATTCACAACCCCTCGTCTTCACCATGACCTCGAATCCTGCGCCGAAGGCAGCTTCCACTGTCCCTGAGCTCAAAAATCTTACCATCGACAACATTACAGAGAACGTGCACCGCATCAACTCGCAATGCGCCGACCCACGCCTAAAGTATGTGATGGAACGATTGGTTTCGCACTTGCACGACTTCGCGCGCGAAACGCGATTAAGTTTTGATGAGTGGATGGCCGGTATCAAGTTTTTGACAGAAGTTGGGCAAATATGTACGGATGTGCGACAGGTACGTCGCTCTCACTGGTGCACGGAATGAGGGTTGTCTGGGTACAAATGCGGCGGATGCGGAAACACCCTTCATGACTTACGAATAACGGGTCTGATACATGCTATAGGAGTTCATTCTCCTCTCCGACATTGTTGGCCTCTCCTTGCTTGTCGACAGCATCGACCACCCCAAACCCCCTCACTCTACCGAAGGTACAGTCCTCGGGCCTTTCCACACCCATGACGCTTCCACCCTTCCTGCGGGCGCCGCCATTTCAGCTGATTCCTCCGGCGTCCCTCTCCTCGTCCTCTGCACCGTCAAATCAACGACTGGAGCCCCCCTTTCTGGTGTCAAAATCGACGTCTGGGAAACCGACAGCAAGGGCAAGTACGACGTGCAATATGAGGATCGCGGCAACAACGCCGATGGACGTGCGATTCTTGTAAGTGACGATGCAGGCGTATTTTGGTTCAAGGCGATTGTGCCAGTGCCGTACCCCATCCCGAATGATGGGCCCGTGGGCAAATTACTGGAAAAATTAGGTCGTCATTGTTGGAGACCGAGTCACATGCACTTCATGTTTGAGAAGGAGGGTTTCGATCATTTGGTTACGTAGGTACCCCCTTTCCCGCCCGTACCTCCTCCCCTCTGCCCGTATCACCAAGATTGGCAAGTGGGAAACCTTTGCTGACGCATAATACAGCGCCTTGTATGTTCGCGGCTCTGATTACGAGACTACAGACGCCGTCTTCGGCGTTAAAGACTCTCTAATTGTAGCGCTCGAGTCGGTAACGCCAGAGCTAGCAAAGCAGTATGATGTTGAAGAGGGTACTAAACTGCTCAAATACGACTTCATACTCGTCACAGACGACGAGACGAAACAGCTGCGCCACGATGAAGCTGTGAAGGCGATGAAGGGCTTGGGAAGAGAGGGTATGCTGATTGTTAATGGGCTGCCCATCCCAGATGTCGACTAAGTTCGAGTCGTACGACCTTGATTATCGGCCATGTTTATGTCGGAATTGTCGCCGCCAACGTTCAACGATGGGGCTGCTCGCGTGTACAATATTGCCCATCGATTATTCCTGCACAGTCTGCTATTTAAGTCGCATATGTAAGAATGTACATTATTTATATTTGCCCCACTGTGCCAATCTTAAAACTCACATTTTATCTTCTAGATCCTATAGGCGTCCCCAATCACTCCATATTTATACCAAGTTGACGGATCAATGCCCACAAACATTGACACGGCGCCAAACTGACCAACTTTTAATACAGGTATGACTAGGAGTGGTGTGTAACCTTGACAATATCTGTCAAATGACCTGACACACTTCTCGCGCCAGAAGACGCGATTGGAATTCTCAAGTTGATCAAACGTGATATGGACAAATCCGATAGGAATCGACAGTACCGCTTTTGTGTGTATTGTTCTCTGTTATAATCGCGTTGCAATGCTATCGCTGACGTCAATTCATATTCACCGTTAACCTTCACCACAACTACTAGGCCAAAGCTAGCGCCACGCACGTAATCTGCCTACCAGATATTCGTGAAAACTTTCAGAAATTCCACGACTTACCAAAACCTCCCCGATCCATATCTGGTGCTGGGGATTCTCCACAGCAGCTCAATATGTTTGTCCGCAGTGGCAACAACTCCGGCGACGAGCACACCCTCGATTCTGGATACAAGTCTGATCACGACACGCAATCTGAGCTCGGGAGTGATAGGCCAGTACTACACTGCTATCGTCTTGTTGAGGGAATGTGAGTAATTCGACCGCTCCATGGTATCAGCGCTGACCGATTTGCAGGAAAGACCGCCCTTGCACTTCCAGGTCTGACTGTTCAGGCAAGCTCGCCCGCCGCAGAGCATCTTCCGAGTCTCCTCGTGCCAAAGCAGAGTTCAAGGACTTGTTACCTCCACAAATGAGCGTGTCAGTATTGAAGTTGCCGAAAGCCTTTGGCGCTTGCTAATAATTTCCAGTGAAGAACATTCCGACAGCCAAGAGCAGCAAGAGGCCCAGCAAGAAGCTGAAGTCTGCGAGACTGACTCCGAAGACGAAATCTCACTGGATTTCAACATTCCATATGTGACTCCGGAGAGTTTCCCTGTCGTTCCCCTCCCGAGGACGCTCCTAAGGGCTGGTTACAAAACCGCTGCAAGGAAGGTCAAGAAGCTCAATGCGAAAGGCAAAGAAAAGGCCCAAGTCCAGCAGGAGTTTGATGGATCCTCCGTCTTGTCAAAGGAAAGCAACACCCAACGTCAACCCGAGGACAGGAGGCTGCTTGCTGAAGTACTTGTACCGAGACAGAGAGCACAATTCAGCTTTGCGGATGCTATAGAGGCGACTGAAGGACTGAGGCAATTTAGTGACGGCGATGGCAGTGAAATTGAAGATGAGTACGTTTGAAGCTCACGAGAGGGCGTATTATAGTAGTCCGACCAGATTAACTTTGTTCTAATGGTTTTCTTACAATTGAACACCTGTCCAATTAATGATCGTTAACGATTCCAGGAGGGCATATTGCGCCGAATCGTGGGCTGTCTCCTGAAGTTGCTGGTAGCGGAGCATGTAGCTAGTGTGAACATTATGTGCATAGCCAAATACATGTATACCTACAATGAACCATGTGTTCAAGGCCGATCGCTTGACATATTGTGACGCGACTGCGAAACTGTGCCCGGTCTTCACTTGTGGGGCCAAACGCGTGGAAGGTTCACCAGTTCACAGGCAAACGCCTCACCCTCATGTTTGCTTACTCTTGCACCAGGGCCGACCCGGAGTCCACCCAACTTTCATCACCTTTTCTATCAACAAAACTCCTTTCTGTCCATCCGCAACATCTCGTACAACATCATGTTGTCTCCCGAAGGCCAACGTGCAGTACTCCAGCTGTGGGCAAACAACACGGACGTTGTGGTCGGTCCGAAAGAAGAACCTCAGGCCGCCTTCATCCGCTTGGCAGGAGTCAAAGGCTGGCTTGAAGGTGACGTGAATTGGTGCATATACTGGCAGTCTTGTTTCGGCGAGGATTATCGTCGTTCTGGGGAGGGTAAGAAGCGCATTCCAACATGGAGAGGCCGAAGGCGGTTAGACCCTCGCGGGCTGAGGAATGGACATCTGGAGAAGCTGACGACCACGTCTTAGATTCAGTGCAAGCAACTACGACCATGCAGGCTACGCCGACCTCAGGAAAGATGAACGACGATATAGCGACTCCTCCTGCTGATCTTGTAGAGCGCATGCGCCGGCTGTCCGTCTCCTCCGAGACTTCGTCGTTCTCAATCATCTCCGCAGCATCCAGCGGGCATTCAGTTCAGTCCCTCGACTCCAATGGTTCCCTCACGGGCGGCGTTCAGGTACTGCAAGACCCCCAGTCCAAAAGCATTGTACTAGAAAAAGAGAAAGAGAAAGAGAAAGAGAAAGAAAACGCGAAAGAAAATCCTGCTTCTACTACGACTGCTGCTTGTCTCCCGCCTGCTCCAACTACTAAGGCCAACGTGGAGGCAGCAGCCGGAGATAAGGGTAACGCCGAGTTCACGCCGACACCGTCAGCATGCCCGTTCTGGTACCAATTTACAGGCTTCACCCCGTCACCTACTGCCAAGTTCAGAGATGAATTCAACCGCCTTGCACAGCACCAGAAGTGGAGTAAGAATCAGAGGCGAAAATTTCAACTGCAGGCGCTCAAAGCCGAGATTGCATTCCACAGTGGCACATGCCTACAGAAGCTAGCCAAATGGCAGAATCTATGCGAAGAAATGGGCGTGGCGGAGAATCTGCCTTCAATAAACCAATGTAAAATGGTGAGTAGTTTTTCCTTTAGTCTCGCATTCATCGTGACAAAGAAGAGCTCATACCACACAGGCTCTCAAGAAAGTCTACGTCAATCTCTGGAACGTAATCGACCACCGCCGCAACCCTGAGATTGCCATCAAGCGGTTCAAATCTCGCACCCAGTTCTGCAAGGCCATTCGTTCTGGCACACCTTTTCCACGTGACATCGCCAAGCAGGACGGCTTCATCAACGTCTTACTTCGCACAATCTAAGTCTGCAATCTTTGTTTTAAGGAGCTACTACTAAGGGCGTATTTGGGTTGGGTACAAAGCGCATATCAGATCCATCCCCCGTGTCTTACCGCGGAACAAACATCTCGGGTTATCTATGGCGAAGGAGTTTTGGATTTGGAGTATATGTAGGATTTGGACTTGGATTTTACAAATGGCAATCCCAAACTTTTCAGCGATAAAGTGATACAAGAACTCCAGATTCGGAAGATTGCAAAATTGAGAAAAAAAAAACCTCCTGGATATGTTTCGTTTGTGTAGAAGGGGGTTTAAACTTCAAATCTTTGTAATATCTTGTAGACTTGTCTTTTGGGGGTATGTTCTTGCAATTGCATCAAGGCAGAATCTCTCACATCATGGCTTTTTCATCACTTTTGCATGTGATTTCGTTCCCTGTGGCTACGTGAGACTTGTATGCCAGCGTATTCTGGGCGATTTTTGGAATTTGCAGTGGAATGGTTTGGAACGTTGAGATGTGTACGAGGGACCACGACTTTCTCGCCTAGAACACGGTGCATGCTGGATCCAGAATGCAGCAACTGATGCACGCCACTCGAGAGGCAGGTTGCAAATCGTGAATGAGGTTGATCGTTGAACAAGCTTCATGCACCCATAGCAGGTATATCTACAGCAATAGAGCTGCAGGTATTGATTCCACTTGGGAACCGAACACTTACAAAACTTCGAACCGTTAGTCCATCATCCTAGTGGAATTGTACGTATTCAGGGCAGAAAAACGGGGCAGCAAATTAAACAAACAATGGTCAATGAATCAAATATCTTCAAAGGTATGTATGGGCCTCATCAAAGTCTGCATAACTACTGCTTAGGATGAGCTCGTGAAATGCTACCTCAAAGACTAGCTCGTTAACTCATGAGGTGCGAATCGCTGGTATTTGTTAGGATTTGAAATTTCCAGGTTAATTTGAAGTTGTGTGCGTGCTTTCGTCTCGGGCAAGTGTATAATATTCTCGAATCGTGCTCGTGGGTAATCCGCGACGAGACATAGATTTCACAGTTCCAGTTTCACGGATGCTAGGGAATGGTAGAGCGAGCGGGAGGAGAATTTGCTTCTCGGCATTAATAATTGGATCAAAGGTGGATGAGAGGTGTTTCCCATGCCGGTAGCTCGGTGCTGGTTATATAGGCTCACGATATGGGCAGTAACGTGATTATCTTTGACATTTGTCATTGGAATACAACTTTTTAGGGTTTGTCTCTCTTGCTTAGATACACGATCTATCTCGCGATAACAAGTTTATGAAGGTGTTGTATCACTCCATCCGCAGAACGCTCAATACATCGTGTGAGTGACCGACTAAGAGTAGCTAACTGCAGTCGTACACAAAGGACTGCAGCGCTAGGTTAATGTGTTGCCATAAGCGTTCCAGGATTTGCATTATCATCTGTGCATATGCGTACCGCGATGTTATACAGCAGTTGCTGTATTATGCTGTAGGTTTGGAAATGTATTGCGACCGATTACACCATTTCTTTTGTGCATTTATGGCACAAAATGAATACTTCAACATGTTCAAGCTGTTCAGTCGTCTGAGGACTTGGGATTGACCGACGCATGCAAATGCATCTTGAGGCAATATAAATTTATCACTATAAGCTTTCGATATCTACGGATGTTTTATTTGAAGGAAATAATGTTACATATGGTGATTTTTATAGAACTGTAATAGTGACAGACTGCTTGTTCCATGGTCTAGGTGGGATATAGTCATGTGGTCCCTGATGTGAACAAGGCCGTCGTTCTGTTCTAAATCGATAGAGTGCTTGCCAGGCTTGTACTGCTCTATCTTGAGGTACATCGTGATTAACCCAACAATTGCTATGATCATATTTATAATCTTTTACGTTCTTTCTCCGGTTCTTGAAACTTTTGTTAATGAAAAGTGATTGTCCTTTATCTTGGATGAAGTAGATGCATTAGACTGAAACGACCTGCTTTATTAAAGTTAACATTTTCATTCTCATAAGATTATTATGTGTCTAATGCTCACTGTTGCAGTCACATCATCTTCACTAGTCCTCTCGCGTTGTTGCCATACTATGCTTAGATTTTCATTGTAGAACTACAAGATGAAAGTAGTAATCGATTTCTTACAGTTGAGGATTTGATTTGTTCTGAGACTCCATCGACAACGTACATTTTAGTAACATGTGAGACTTTGCAGGCAATATCATATCAACTTGAGTGAAAAAATCATATACACTCACTACGGTAAAAAATTGTTTACTGTAGAATGGTACGCTAGGGGTTTACTATATAGGTGTAAACTAACCTTGTGTATACCTATAAATAGGTTTAAAGTAGTGGTTTACTTTTTTGTAGTATAAACATAGTATAGTTTACTATAGACCTATTAGTAGAGTAAATAAAGTAGTTTATAATAGACCTATTAGTAGAGTATATAAAGTAGTTTATAAAAGATAAAATATAAGTGTTAGGTATAGTAATAATAGTATTAGATTTTTTTTAGTATTCTTATATAAACTACTAGTATGTTGTTGCCTATCCTGTCCCTAGGCCTAACCTACCTAATTAATAGCCTATACCCGCCTAATTAATAGGCCTAAAACCGCCTAATTATTAGCCTATACCTACGTAATAATTAGCCTATACCTACGTAATTATAAGGCTATCTACTGCGTACCTTACTTATTTTTATAAAACTATAGTATAATATAAATTAAATAGGTATATAAGTAGTATAACTGCGTAGTAATTAGTATAAGTTAGTATATCTAATAATAGTCTAGCGTAATATATAGATAATATACTTACCTAATAAATGCTAGTATATTATATAGTAATAGTATTAGTATAAAGAGCCTAGTACTATAAAGCTAGATATAGACCTATTATCTTACTTAACTATAGGTAGTTAGTCTTAGACTATCTGCGTTTATTAACAATATATAGCTTATTACTAGGTTAAAGTTAAGTGCTATATCTATAGTAAACTATAGCTACTCCTATAAGGTTAATAATTATTGTTATTTAAATCTATTTAATACTATTATTATCTTCTATTATCCTCTAAGGTTAGGCTAGTTAGCCTATAGTAGTAGCAGGTTGTGTCTGTTGCTATTAAAGTACTCCTACCTATTTAGAGTTATTAGCTAGATCTTAAAATAGGTGTATTACTGTCCTAAAGGAGAGCTAAATATAGTTATTATAATTATTTCTAGCAGCGTAATATATAATAAACGCAGTACTCTAGGGGTAGTTACTATCTTTATAATTCCCTAAAACCCTAATAGTATACCTATTTAGAAGTATATAATAGTTATATATACAGCGTCATGGCGCGGCTGAATTTATGTTGGAGTTCTGCCTATTAGAATG